CGAGCAGAAAAAAATGGAGGAAAAAATGGAAAGGTATAGAAAATTGGTAAAAGAGAAGGAGAGCGCATATGAAAAATTGAAAGCAGAAGAGAAAAATGCCTTGGAAGGGTTGAATAATCTGGATATTGAATATGAGGAAGGAGAAGATGAAAGGGAAAAGCATGGTGAGGGGGAGTTGGATATCGGTATTGAGGTCGAAGATGGAGAGGATTTCTGTTAAGTATGGATTATTGTTGGAGGCCGTTGCAGTCTAACTGGTATTAAGCTACACCCTGTTTGGTCGTTTCGTGTCACCGTGTGTTTCGACTCACCGTGGGGTACGTTAGAGCGTTTCCCCCTGCCGGGCCGTGGCGGAAAGTGATGAGTGTCCTGTGGCGGTGCACTGCCAGCTTTGTTGCTGAGCGCACCGCCACAAGTACTCATCACTTTCCGTCACCCCCTGTACCAGTATGAGCATAGTACGAGTACCTGTACCGGTATAGCAGAAGCAATATGGTAAGCGAAGGGTGCATAGGAAAATGAGATGTAGAAAGGGGGGAAGGGTGTGTGTGCCTGAAGGCTGAAAGTCATTTTTTTGGGGGGTTATCTGCAAGAAAATCGGCACATGCCCTTCTGCCTGTCCCTCTGTGTTACGCGATTGGGTTGTCAAAGCAGCATAGCTGAGAATTTCCCAGGACGCGAGAGCCTACGAGACCTGACATCTGGCCTGTTCGTCATCCCTTTTTATTTCTTTCGCTCGCTCGTGAATCCCCCCCCCCCTTCCCATCGCACAACACCATATAATTCTCTGTTTCATCGATTGGAACATACAAGTGCCTCCCGAGAACCCCTTTCCGTGCGCTGGGCTCCCTGCTGTTTAGCCCAGATCCCTCTCCTCTCGACTTGGCAAATTTTCGCCAACAAGGCTCTCCTGAGCCTCTTCAAACCTCACCACATTGATCCACCCTCGTTTTGCACTGCCGTCTAGGACTGGACAATCATGTCAACCAAACCACACGCTCGGTTAGCCGTGGACGAGAGGGGATACGACCGTGCCCATTCGAGAAGCCCTTCGCCATCCCGCAGGAAAAAGGCGAATAAACCGAAGAAGCAGGAGGATGGCCCCCTCAGCAAGGGCGGTTCCGGCTCCCAGAAGCAGGATAGCGGTCCGGGGGGACGAACCCTGAAGCAAAAATCCAGAGATAACGATATCTTCTTGCTACCATCATCCGATTATCAAATCCTTGGCGTCTTGACGGTAATAGGTGTCTGCGTTCGACTGTTCAAGATCTATCAACCTTCGAGTGTGGTATTCGATGAAGTGCAGTAAGTTCACCTCCCCATACGGCGGTGCAAGGCGCGAGATATGCTCCTACAACAGTGGCAAGCGAGGGCGCTGTTACGGCGGTATGGCGAGCTTCCATTGGGAGGAGGAAGGCGGCCATCAATATGACAGGGGCTAACGTGTGTTGAAGTTTCGGAGGATTCGCTACCAAATATATTAAGGGAAAGTTCTTTATGGATGTTCATCCCCCGCTTGCTAAACTCCTTATTACACTTGCGGGATGGTTGGCTGGGTTCGATGGGAGCTTCGATTTCAAGGAAATTGGAAAGGATTACCTTGCACCTGGTGTGCCTTATGTGGCCATGAGAATGTTGCCAGCGTTGTTGGGTATTTTGGTTGTCCCCATCATCTTCCTGACTCTTAAAGCCGCTGGAAACTCAACGGCAACTGCCTCTCTCGGCGCCGGGCTTGTCATCTTTGGTCAGTGCTTCTTGTCGCCCGTGAACTCCCGGATCAGGCTAACCGAAAGAGTGTGCTGTAGAGAACGGCCTTGTTACTCAGTCTCGGCTCATTCTTTTGGATTCCCCTCTGGTTACCTTCACCGCACTTACAGCCTTGGCCTGGACCTCCTTCCTCAATATCCATGAACAAGGTGCTTCGAAAGCGTTTGGACCCAATTGGTGGCTCTGGCTAGCTATGACGGGGCTCGGTCTCGGTGCCACAGTCAGCGTCAAATGGGTTGGTTTGTTCACTATCGCTTGGGTTGGGAGCCTAACTGTCCTGCAATTGTGGTTCTTGCTTGGAGATACAATAAATGTTACTCCGGTGAGTCCCGTATTCGAACTTGTGCACTTTCGAGTTTGCCTTCTAACAAAAATACTAGCGTTTGTGGTTCAAACATTTCCTTGCTCGTGTTTTCTGCCTTATCATTATACCGCTTGGATTCTATATGCTCATGTTTGCTATTCATTTCTTATGTCTAGTAAACCCCGGTGATGGTGACGGCTTTATGTCTTCTGAGTTCCAAGCTACACTCAATTCTAAGGGAATGCATAGTGTTCCTGCTGATGTCGCGTTTGGTTCCCGCATCTCCATAAGACACCACAACACGCAAGGAGGGTACCTCCATTCTCACAGCCATATGTATCCAACTGGATCGAAACAGCAACAGATCACACTCTATCCACACAAGGACGAAAACAATCTATGGCTTCTAGAAAACGAGACCAACCCTGACACAGGCATTGATGGATACGATATCATCACACCACCTAGCCTAGTTTTTGACGGCGCTACTGTTAAGATTTACCACACGAGTAGTGACAGGAGATTGCATTCACATGATGTTCGGCCTCCCGTTACAGAGGAGGAATGGCAAAATGAGGTTTCGTAAGTTGTAAAGCTAAACCCGCAAGGGCTGCTTGCTGACGATTCATGCAGCGCTTATGGATACAAAGGATTCGAGGGGGATGCCAATGACCTTTTCCGCATTGAAATTGTGAAGCATCTTTCTGATGGATCTGAGGCCAAGAAACGTCTTAGGACTATTCAGACCAAGTTTAGGCTTGTCCATGTAATGACTGGCTGCGCATTGTTTTCACACAAAGTCAAGCTTCCGGATTGGGGTTTTGAACAACAAGAAGTCACTTGTGCCAAGGGTGCTACTCTTCCGAATAGTGTTTGGTATATTGAGGGCAATGAGCATCCACAACGTAGGATTTCCAGGTCATCATGTCGAGCTATATAGTTCTATGCTAATCCACCCCTGTAGTCCGGGAGGGCGCCGAGCTTGTTAACTACAGGAACCCTGGTTTCCTTGGTAAATTCTGGGAAATTCAGAAGGTGATGTGGCGCACAAACGCTGGCCTGGTTGAATCCCATGTATGGGACTCCCGTCCTCCATCATGGCCGGTTCTTCGTAGGGGTATCAATTTCTGGGGCAAGGATCATCGCCAAATCTACCTCATCGGTAATCCAATTATTTGGTGGTCGTCGACGGCGGCTATCGCGATGTATCTTACCTTCAAGGCATTCGCAATTCTTAGATGGCAACGTGGATATACCGATTACTCTTTTACGAATTTCCGCAGGTTCGATTTCGAAGTTGGTGTCGCTGTATTGGGTTGGGGCTTCCACTACTTTCCATTTTATCTGATGGAGAGGCAGCTTTTCCTCCACCATTACTTCCCGGCACTCTATTTCTCAATAATCGCACTCTGTCAAGTCTTTGATTTTATCACAGCAAGGATTGGAGCTCTTGGTTTGAACCAAAGGCCCGCCATTGGTTGGACAATTGCAACTATATTTCTTGGGCTTAGCATCGTCGCTTTTTCGCTTTATGCCCCTCTTGCCTACGGGAGCCCCTGGACAAAGGCCCAGTGCAACAGGGTTAAGCTCTTCGAAGACTGGGATTGGGATTGTAATGCTTTCCACAATTCGGTATGATCCTTACACTCGGGGGAGGTTCCCTTGCAGTACTAATTCTGGTTTCAGTTGTCTGAATATGGCAATATTGTTGCTACCCCATCGGAAGCTTTGACCTCAACACCGGTCCCTATTGCTGCCGATCCCCGTAATGCCCAAGGGGGCGAAGGTGAAGCGCAGCAGCCAAATACTACCCCTCTGGCCGAAGAGCTGAAAGAGGCTAACCGGGTTCCTGCTGCTGGTATGCCTGAACGTCAGAAAGTGGTTGCACAGGAGGAACGGATTGAATACAGAGACCAAGATGGAAACATTCTTGACGAAGAACAGGTGAAGGCTCTTGAGGGAAAGGTTGAGTTCCACACGAGGTATGAGACTAGGACTAGACTACTTGATGAAGCTGGTAATGAGGTTCCAGTTGAGAGTAGCAGGGTTGCAGGGCTATTGGTGGACGGCGCAAACCCAGAGACACCAAAAGTAGAGCCATTAGAGAGTGGATTTCCCCCACGAGTGGACGCAGAAACCGAGAGTGAGTTGGACGCAGAGAGGGCACGGGCAGAGGCCAGCCCCGCTAGTGATGGGCTACACGAGACATAGGCTTGTTCTCTATATTTTCTTTCTTTCGGCAGTATTGGCCCTGCGGGGAAGCGTAAAGGATCTCACGGCAGTGTTTGTGGGTCAGGATAGCGTGGCGTCGAGGAATGAATAATGTCTTGTTTCTGCATATGGACTGAGTCACTAGGAAAAAAAGGGATTTTTTTTTTGGTTAGCAACCTCTGGGGGAGGGTGTTCGTTTCGTTTTTTCTAAAAAAATCCACAGAAAATAGTAATTTTTTTCTTTTCCTGTTAACATCCCTGCTTACCCTCGCGTGCTTCATCAATACCGGTTTCCTTTGTCTGGCATATAATGTCTCTTCGCGGCTTCTTTGGGAAATAGTAAAGTTGATGTCCGTGATCAAGATTAGATGTGCGGTAGGGGCCGATGAGGATGGCTGAAGAAAAGAGTTGGACATACGGTGCCGGTGCTCTTGCTGCCGTCGCGCGGGTGATTAGTTTGCGTGCGAAGACGTGACAAGAAATCTGCGGAAAAAAAGAAATGAAAGTCAACGACTGCGACCAATAGGGTACGAGTACAGTATTGTAGGAGTAGACTAAGCCTACTCAGCTTCAGGAAGATAATATCATACCCACCACCCCACTAGCTTCGTTCTCCCGGGCGAATGTTCTGTCGATTTTGCAAGTGGCTTACTGCAACACATTGTGGCTGTAGTCTGATATGTAGGACGAAACCAAGTGAATGCACGTACTGTACTCGTAGAACCGCACAGCAAGGAGAAAATAATTCATCGGATATGGCCCTTACTGCTGGTACCCTCTTTTCCCCTTCCCTTCCCTTTCTCTTTTTTTCTCCTCCCTACGATGTGAGACTCTTGTTCGAGTAGCACAAAAGTTTGTCGCTTCAATACGGCACAATACTTTCTCCCACCTCGTAAATATGGCGGCCCATCATCATAGCGAAAGTGTGATAGCACGATGGTACAAGTACTGTACCATGCGATTCGGTATTAGAAGCACACAAGTACCGTGCTGTAGAGTGCACAACACTCTGCGTAGCTCTTCTTCCCATACCGGTAGGAGAGGTGAAGGCACCAGACAGCACTCGTACTGTACGGTACTCGAGCACCACACATGTCGTGAAAAGGGGTTTGGGCCACCCGGCGTTCATGATGCCTGTACTAGTACTGTATGGTACGGTACTCGTACTGTGCAGCGCCGCCAACCGCCCATGCGCGATCAAGTTACTCCATTGGAGTGCGGGGATCCAGTCTGGTAGAAGTATAATACCGTGCTCAGGTTTTGACCAAGATCCCACGATATGGCGATAAATTAATTGGTTACTTTTTTTTTGTGGGGGGGGGATGTTTTGGCGTTGGCTCCCCTCCCGGTACTGGTAGTCTATATATACTTTCCCCCCGGTATCTGACTTAGTGGTGTGTCCGGTCCGCATCATACATGTCGTAGTTGTAACTTATAATACGTCACGGATAGTGAGTGCCAAAGGCTGAATCCACAGCGCTGTGGGAGTGAGTAAACTCCCCGGTTCATCCCAACTTTGATTCATACGTTTTACCCACCTTTGTGGGTGATACGCTAGTAATCGACCGGGGGGTGCCCTCTTTTCACTCACTCACTCATTCCCGCATTAGACTTGTGTTCGATGGATCGTGGCGGACGGACGGGAGGGAATGTTAAGCTGTGAGGTTGCAGCTGGGAGCAGCCATATATGGGGTTTTTTTCTTCTTCTTTCTCCGGTTGAGAGACATTTCTTTGGTTGGCGGATGTGCAAGTTGCTATACGTGTTGACTAACTTACTGGATACCTCAGGGCCCTGATATATTATTATTATACCCCGACGGTACGGGAATCCTTAGGTATAGCTATTGGTATGGTTAGATGCGCGACCGGTAATTCTTCCATCTATCATACTTGTAGAATACCCACCGACACAAACCTCCACTGGCAGGATAAGATCGGAATGAAACGAGAAGACAAGCGGAGAAAAGAAATTCCAAAGTAGGCGGGAAGCGAGCACGGGGGATATTCACCCCCGGGTTAGGGATGTAACCAGTCGAGTCGCTAATCGAGCTAGCTCGTTAGGGTTATTTCCATTTAGCATACTTGTAAATTGGCGTAGTGAGGGGGGTAGTGAGGGGGGGGGGATGGGGACATCTCTTCTTTTCCCCCTCCGTTCGAGAACAAACATTTCTAGTTGCTCCTTCCTGCTCTCCCCGCCCCCTCGTCTCGCTCGCTTTTCCTGTCCCTCTTCGCCTGCCCACCGCCTACCCCTTTCTTTGGTATATTTTTTTGGAGATTGTGGGGTATGAGTGGGTTCTTTAACGTCTGAGCCCCGGTTTTCCTTGTCATTGCGTTGACTGCCGTTTGAGTACGTAGTGTGAGGGGGCCCGGGTAGATTTTCTGGGCACATCTCTGGCTTCCAGTGCCTACCGCGGGCGAGAGAACGGTCGGCTGCGGTGAAGGAGTGACCCTAAGTTTAGCTTTGATAAAAACCACGCGAGTGATAGTTTATGTATATCCTATATGGGGTTTTCTGCGATCAGTCGAGGTAAGGAAGAAAGGAGGGGGAAAGGAAAGGAAAGAAGATCCCACACTCTCCCTTCTCCGATCCTTAAGTATTGACCCACTCCTACTGCATCCCTGTCCATTCGTTCCCTTACTTAAGAGGCGGGATCCCGCATCTTTGTAGAATACAGTGTATAACTCCTTCTCCATCCCCTCAGGCACCACTCCGTCGAACCGGGCCTTAAGCTCCAGGGGGGGCACTGTGGTGGTGGTGGTGGGCAATCTGTCCTGGGGCGGGGGTAAAATTATGAACAATATATCATAGCTTAAATTTTAACTGGAGGGAGAGCTGAGAAATATCCCATACCCAGATATTTGAAGTGGTGTAACATAGGCACCCAAGATGGAGAGCTGGGGACACAGAAGTAGTTAGACTACTAATCGTAGTGAATGATAGTTTTTTTTTAGAGGAGAGGAGAGTGTAGAATGATGGTGTCAGCAGGGTGGTATATATGCTCGAGCCGGTAAATGCGAGGCACGTTATGTGTGGTGCTGGTGGGAGAAGAGCCACAGGGAGATGGAGGATGAGAAGCGGTGGGGAGGAACACAGGCCTTTGTATTCACCGACTCTCATGGAAGGTACAGAAGTTTGATCATTGCTGTCCAGTTTTACTTGCACCATATTTGTGCCCCATACTACGAGTACCTCTAATTCCTAGCCCGTTGATTCAAGAGCTGCAAGTATAACGAAACCAAATAAGAGGTGGAGGTGCCAAGGAGTGGCGGGTTCGATGTCCAGATCTTGGTTCCTGAATTACCTGCTTAGATAGGGCTTAGATAGGACGAGCGAGACGAGGAAAAACGGAGAAGAGAGGAAAAGAAAAGAAAGGAAAAAGAGACACTGCAATTGCTGTGAGGAACTAGACAATGTAAGAACTGCCATTGAATTTTTTTTAGGAGCTAGATATCATGATTCGCCTCTATGCATCAAGCTTCTGCGGCTGCTTCCTCCTTATCAATCTCAGAATACGAATCAGTATCCAATACATGGAGTTCAGGATTTTTATCTACACTCTTCATTGCATTCAACCATTCTTCATGGTCTGGGACATCCCCAACAATTACTGGAACATCAGGGTTGCAGTTTTCCGGGTCTGCATGCGCTTTGTTAAGATAGTCCATGAACAAGTCTAAGCACGCGGGGATAATTGCACTTGGCCATGTAGCCGCTGTAAAGCAGTCAGTGTAAGAACTAATCCGAAGAAGTGGCTGCCAGAAAAGGTGCTAGCTTACATGAAGAGAAGGTAGCACAGCCGAATCGTGGATCGAGAATCACAGACTCGCGGGGCTTACTATGGACGATGTAGTTACGGGCCCTCTAGAGAGAATTGTTAATCCGAAAACTAGTGCTAGATGCGGTGGAGAAAGTTAACCTGCATAAGAAACTGTTGGAGTTCAATGTTGGTAATGTTGGGCAGGCAATGTGCGGATTCTGCCATGACCAAAGCGAAGATCCGGTCTTTCCAATCATCCCCTGCAAATCGGTAGTCAGCGTTGTGCTCAACAATAACCCTTCCTTCACGCATGGTAACATAAAACTGGAAATAGAACCCACAGTTATTGTTCAGAAACGCGACAACAGTGTATGCAACCATCCCGCATGCTATGATATCAATTTCAGCATGACTTGGCACAATCTTGTCCAACACATGTCTAAACACATAGCCCACATGCTCCTCAGGGTTCTTGTGCGATGGTACTGTATTCTTGAGTGCGTTGATTGGGATTTTTTTATCCTTGGTTGCCCTCCATGTACCAAATCCCATTGGAGTCTTAGTCGTGTAGTCCCAAAGCAGTTGACCAGAGTTCATGATAACCACTCCGTACCCAAATTCCAGGGCATGTTTAACCGCATCAATCATCGATCCACCCTATACCGCCTTAGTCCGACCATTAATTACTTAAGGGAGGAGGGAGAAGTAAAAGGACGATGCCCCTTACATTCAAGGCGCCTTCCTCAATGCTACGCATGCACCAGATACCGAGGCCTCCGGAGTTACTATCTGGAGAAAGCACGAGAACCTTACTGCAGGTTTGCAGATTTTGTGACACCATGATAGGAACATGCGGTTCTTCTACACTGGCACCGAATGGCAGAAGTAATTTAGTTAATCCTAGCCCTTCGAGCCGAGTGATGACGATACCGCGGAGACACGCTATTCGTTCGTCTTTCTTAGCTTCTTCCGGCACATTTTTCGGGGTATTTATTTTGTTTTTTCTGGAATGGGTTGGTACCATCAACGGCCTCGCGACGACGCTCATTCAGCCTCTCCCTTGGCACACCATGGCCACCATTCGCTGCGTACATGTACCCATGGTGTCTTCCATGGGCAAAGTAGTCGAATCCTTCATCAGGATTTTCAATTTGGCGAAGCTGATCCTTCTCGTTGATGAAAAAGCTGATCAAGTGGGGTCGCCCCGCAGGTTAGTGACTCTCCTCCTCTTGTGGGTCGTAGTAACAAATGCGGGAGGGAAAGGCAAACGCACCCTAGCTCCTTTAGATCATGGGGAAACTCAATATCTGCCAGGTTCCTACCCGCCTTGTTCTTGCGCCTAAACATTTTTGGTGGTTTGACTGGTTAGGTTTGGATGCGTTGTTGACTTTTTTTCTTTTCTTTCCTTCTCCTGAAGTTTGTTGACTTGTGGGGCGTAAGATGGAAGGAGCTGTGGTAGGAAAGGTTTCGTTGTTGGGGGGATGTTTGCGTCGTCGCCGTGCACTCCTGATGGCGGGAGCCCTAGGAGGCCTGAAACGATTGACTAGGTGCGGTATCATACACACGATTCATTTAACCTACAGCATGTCAACACTATAAGTTATGATATCATGCCGATGGAGGGTACTTGTGCAATATCTGAGTACGTACAGTACCGGTAGCAGTTCTGGTTGTTGCGGGGTCCCTGTATCCTGCTCACTCCTACTGTACGTAGAGTACCCGATCATATAATACGAGTAAGTTGCTGTTGCGAGTACTCATACCAAAGCCACTAGCAATCACTAGATCACCGTTTTGAAAACGATCCGTCCGAGATCTAACCGTATCCCCGCTTCTGTCCCAACCCCTCAGAATATGGTATCGGAAAAAGTAGGATGTGGAGGCTGCATACAATGAACGTCGAGCTGCCAAAGAATAAACCCCTAATTTTAGTATTGCCGATGTTCAATTTTGGCGGATTACAGTGGCAGCATCCTGTCGTGGTCCAGGAGTAAATATAGGAACCCCAGCCTCCAATCGGATCGCTTGAATAGCTGTTACGGGTCATCAGATGCTTGTTTCATTGCATGCCAGTATTCGGCGATATTTTTGACGCATTTGATATATCTGCTCAGAAGCTACATATCTCTGCAGCATATATGGTCTAAATTGGATTCATGATGGGATTCCTAATCTCGATTCTTCGCTACCGGTACCAAAATCGGAAGAGGCAAAAAAGAGGAGGGAAGGGAAGAAATAGTTTGTATGTAACCCAACACAGGACATGACAATGACTGATTACAGGCAAATGGGAAAAGAAGAAAAAAAGAAAAAAAGAAAAAAAGATAGAACGCCGTTCTCCGCCCATGAAAGAAATTAATGAAATGGCTCGTTTTTCACAGTAAGGAAGCACCACCACCCAAAGATTACAGAGACGGAAGCATTATAGACAGTAATGATGAGAAAGAAACCATCCACATCCTCATTTCCAACCCGACTAGCTGGTTCGTTGTAACTCGACTTCACGAAGGGCGTCGGTAAGAGCTTCTCCTTTCTTCTTTTGTTCTTGTTGGAGCAGGTATTCGGCATACTTTGAGCGGCGGTTGTGAATGCCGCATTCAGTCTTGTTGGTGCCTTTCCACCTACCGGACCGCTCGTCTTCGCCCTCCGCAACAGGACTGTAGTAAATTGTTAGTAGTCAAACACGCAGGGGGGCGAAGGGTCCACAAACCTGGTACTGTGCCAGTCCCCAATGCTCTTGTATCCCATATCCAAAAGGGAGTTGTAAGGAACGTTGTGCTTGATGACGTATTCCCGAACCTGCTTGAAAGTCCAGTTCGCCAAAGGGTTGACTTTGATAAGCCCTGCATCATCCAGTTCGATGATATCCAAATCACCCCTCTTTCCACCCTGACTCTTTCTGCGACCGGTAAGGACAGCCTTCACATTGAGTTCTGCATAAGCCCTCTGTGCGGGCTCAACCTTGGCAAGATAGTCGTAGAGATTATCATTGGTATCCCAGAGATTATCCCCATGAATACATTCGAAGTCGCGTGCATTACCGCATCCATCCGGCTTGTAGATGTGTAGCTTCGAGTTTGGGTAGCGCTGACGCACTCTGTCTACAAGTTCAAGGGTCTCATCGAAATGGTAGAGAGTATCAAGGAAGACAAGATCAATTTGACGGGGTCCTCCAGCGTTGATACGGGATAGCATATCAAGTGTGACGAGACCAGTGAGACCAAAGGCTGTGGTTTGGTATAGGTTTGGGAGAGAAATCATGCACCATTTGAGAACTTCTGTGAAAAAATGTTAGATAAATGTACTGACTAAGACCTAGGATTCGTAGTGGGATAGGTACGTACCTTCTGGCTCAAGAGTCTTCAATTGCTCATTCAAATACTTCAAGTGGGGACTTGAGAAATAGACTTCAGGCAAGCTGGGGGTAGCTGAGCCCGGCGAATCATAACCTGACTCTTCATCCTGTGACATGGATCGCTCAGGGATGGGTCGTTGAGGATATTCAATTGGAGTTATGGTCATGATGCCTGATTTTGTATAGGCCTATTTGGTTCTTTCGATGTATGATCCGCTGGGCTAGGTGAAAGGTGAGGGTGAAAGGCAGAAGTCCTTTGAATGCTTATGCGAAAGAAATGCACCGATATTTTTCTTATGATATCCGTTGAGGGATAGGGAATTGATTGGCGAAGTTGAATCGAAGGGGCACTGAGGTTTGGACGAGGTTAGAATGTAAAATCAAACAATGAGGGGGGAAAGAGAAGAGTAAAAGTACAGATGCTATCTCCCCCCCCGCTTCTTCCATCGTCTTGCTTTACGGAATGTATTTTAATGGAAATGACAGGGCCGATGGTTGAATCTCTAGTTGAAATTGCGTGCTCAAGTTGGCAGGGAGAAAAAAAAGCAACGCTAGTCCTAATCAGGTCTTGGCATGTATCTCGATGTGCTCTAGGATCAGACGTTGCTAGAGGAGTGCGAACCTTAGAAATCAGGCCTGACAAAGCAGTAACAAAGGAACGATGAGACCCCTGTGATGCAATACTAACTGATGGAATCCACAAAATCTGTGGAGCTTAAAGGCCCAATCAAACGCTTTGGCGTAGCAAAAACGTTGCTTCAGCCCCGGGTTGAGGTCCCCAGCAACTAGAAAATAAGGTACCGTGCTTTTTGCCATGAGCCAAGTTCCTGCGTGTATAGTATTCGCCCCAGACAACAAGTACCCGGAAACAGGGGCCGTGGATTGGTGTGGGCGCTCAGATACGCACGGATTTCTTTGACATATATTTTGCAAATCCCTGTTTCCGGATAGTACCTATGCCTGGGACAAGCGACCTCGAATAAGGCTGCGGGATTTATCAGTATCAATGCTGGTATGTTCCCCCGGCCAGCACCCTGCAATGCTTTCCGGATGCCCCAGGACTCCTCTCCCCGCCTCTCTGTATGCCGGATCGCTTTTTCTAACAGCATTATTATATATCAAAATAAACCCAACATGTCCATTCTTCGCCGAAAATGAGATTACCTACCCAACCCATTACCCCGAGTTGAATATGCAGTGATGCTCACCGATTGAAATGATCTATCGCCGATCTTCCACAAACTTCTTTCGGTTGTCAATTCTTTCTAAACGGACCGCAATGCCCACAGGCGACTCTTATCGCCGGGGGGCAATACTAATCACGCCACAGGCATTGTTCGGGAAAGAGAGGGTAGGGGCACGTAACTCTTACTAGGGTCATGGTGATTGAATGCTTTCTAGACGCTAAGCTACCAGAAAAGTTCCCAACCAGCCGGCCGATGATATTGCTTAGAAATTGTGTTTCTCGCGTAGAAGGAGGAATGGGACGGAGTGAGAAGAGAAGGGCAAGGCGGGCTCAGGCCACTCATAGAGAGAAACCTGGCGAGTGATGCATGATGAAGCATCACCCCCTTTAGCAACCTGTGTAGAAATCAATCAGGTAGCGCCTTCCATCGGGGCAGATACTGCAGAGCACAGATCCCAAATGACGTAGCCCCGACATCCCCAGATGATTCTGACCGACCTTTAAACTGGAAGGCAGGGCCAGAGGAGACCAGTCCGGCAAGTCCAGTAAATTCAGCCTCAAACTACCCGGGTTTGTCCCCAGAGCACTCCTATACCACATATTCCCTTCCGGTGGTACTATTCTAGCCACAATAAGGGGCCATGGGTCAGTTAGGTCACTTTACTATCGATCAAGTGTTTGTCGAGGCTAGAGGGAGATATGCTCCACCCAAACTGCGCCCCCTACCCTCGCGGAGAAAGCCCCACGTTGTGGGTGGCTCTGGGTGACCACGCTGCTCTCAGAGCTCCCCATCACAGGGCCATGATACCCTCTCCATCTCGGGGGAAGAAACAAATGCCTTATTAATAGCTCGGAAGTTGAGGTCATATTTACCAATCGATACTCATTTTGAATACAGCCAACCCCGCCCTTTCGCCCGGAAATGGGGGACACTATTGGGGGAAAATCTGTTGAACGGAGCAAAAGAAAAAAAAAACTCGATGGCGTGATTTATGCAGCCGATTGCGTGATAAGGGGGTTTTTGGTCGTGGGGTAAGAGAATACCTATTGTTATTTCCGAGGCATTTGCAGACCCGGGGCCCTTTGAGACGCATGAAAGGTCTATCTTGGATGTCATGGGCGGGGAGAAATGGGGAGGCGTGTTTGGGGGACGGAAGGGCATATCTGGTATCTTGAGGCCGGGAATCTGGATAAGAGGAGTCGAGAAGTGCGAACCTGCATTAGCGGTGGGGCCCTTAGGGTGTGCTAGGATCGTATACCTTGATAGGGGAATGCACCGTGCAATAACCTCATGAGCTGGAAGCTTAGACACCCTTTGGACATATTTCTGTTGAATATTTGCATTTTTTGAATGAAGACGTATGATATAAAATGGTATGGACGGTACGGCCGATGCCCTGAGATGATCGAAATGTCTATCAGCAACTTTGTACCATAGAGACATTGTATATACAAGCATCCAAGCCCTCCATTAATTTGTACCAAGCGATGACCACATCATTTCCCTTTTGTGTATCTGATTCTCTCCAACTCCAGGACCTTTCGCTCCCATTCCTCCGCGCCGTCATCCGGTTCCGATGTTTTGTCAGCCCCAAGCCCGAACCACCCACCCCCGCTTGACGCTGCACGAGCCTTCTTGCCCTTCATGAGCTCCAACATATTGGCCACATTCCTTCCAGCCACAATCGCACATTCTTTACAAGCCCCTCTCAACTCCGCTAGTGCTTCGCTCTTCCTGTAAGACTCCTTAGTCCATGCGAGGCCTCGTTGCTGATCACCCATAGCAAACAGCAGCTCTCCGATATATGCCATGGTAACAGCCTCGGCACAAGGGTCCGATATCTCCTTCGAAGACTCGGATGCTGCCGGTTTTTCCACCGGCGAGGCAGCACGACGCGCTTGCAATATAGTGGTCAGCAACTCTAGGGCAAGGTGTTGGCGGTCGTTACGCGCGTGTAATATAGAGAGCTCAGTGATTGCTTTTAGCAGCAACGGCGTATTCTCCTGTGAAGCCGGGTCAGGAAGCAGGGGTAACCCGTTCGAGGTTCGGTTCACGCCATCGGAGTCTGCGGGGCTGACACTTGCGAAGGAGACGGCATCCATTAATGCTGCCTGGGCGCCAGGCAGATCGTTCTTGAACTCGCAGATCTTGGAGACCCGTAATGCTGCAGTGACTCTTTCTTCTCGCCATAATGATTCTTCGGATTCGTTCTCTCGGGGTAACTGTAGTATTTGTTGGTAGTGTGCTTTAGCACCGTCTATCATACGTTCATGCTCCTCCAGCTCAGCGAGATAACTTAGGCTCATTATGTAGCCCTTTCTCCAGCCTTTCTTTTGCTTTGCCCACCCCTTCTCCTCCAACTCTGCAACGACTCCCCTCATGGTTTCGATGGCCCCTTCGTAGTTATCTGTCCATTTTATCAATGCCCTGGATAGATCTAGATTGTACCGAGCCGTGAAGGGCATATCTTTGGGCGTAGGATGGAAGGTTTCGATATAGATCAACGCTCCGACGAAGGATAGTCCAAACGCAGCAGCGATGAAGCTGTATCCGTAGGCGATCACCCTCAACAAAATCAAGCCTTCACGGTGGAGGTAAGCTTTCGTGCTAGCCGAGATGTGACGTCGGAAAACATCGTGAAAATAGGGTTTAGTGATGATAATGTTCGAAGTAGGCCGCGTACACAAGGCTAAAGGGCGGGGTGAGTTATAGGTTCTGAGGTGGCGGTGCGAGGATGGAGGTAAGAACCGTAGGGTGGGAAAGCGGTAAGGTGTGAACGGAAATGGGTGTAACTCTAGCTGGGCAATCCTCTTAAAGGCCATAGAGAGTGATAACCATCCAATTGAGTATACTCAGAATATAGTTATCGAGAAATTGAGATGACACGACTGGCCTTCTTATCAACAAATGCCAGTATCAGGGTGGGCTTGAGGAGCCAGTGCAAGCTCTCGATGTGGAACGATGTTGGTTCACCAGGGGTCTTGGTAAAGTGAGGTCATAATCCCCAGCTTCTGATCTAATCTTATCTTTATCTTTTGATCTCATCTAAGCGCCCTATCATATCACCACACAGTTGTATTCCCTGCCCTTATGATCCAGAACACTTGCATCAACAACCTGTACAGTGCTCGGGAAGGCTTTCATAAGCTATTCGAGTATGTTCAACAGTTCCCAGACCTTGTCGACCTCAGATGTCTATTATTCAACAACCCCAATTGATCTCAAAGCCCCATACAATGTGACAACGGCTGGCCGGAAGACGATTCTTATTACCGGAGGAGCTCGTGGCCTCGGTGAAGGGATGTTAAGGAACTTTGCGAAACTCGGGTGAATTTCTTGAGATCCCAGCTCTTCTTATGAGAGAAACTAATAGCGAACCAGAGCTACCGTGATAGTCGGCGACCTTAACGAGACCCGCGGGGAGTCGGTTATTGCAGAACTCCGAAAGAGCTCGGGCAATCTAAAGTACGTTCGTTTTCCGCACATGACACTTGTTTGCGTGCGCACAAAAGCCTCACGTGCGAATTTCGAAATTTGGCCTTTTTGACGAAAATAATAACTCACTGATATAACCCCGTGATCCCTACTCCGGAACAGTGTCCATTTTTTATCTCTCGATGTCACATCCTATGCTTCACAATGTGAATTCTTCCGTAGCGCCCGGAAACTTTCACCGACGGGAAAGATCACAACCGTAATCGCGAATGCAGGTGTCGCCGAGCTAGGTTCTTTCATAGAATCTTCTCCAACAAAAATCCCTCTCGATGTTGACCCTCCCGAACCAGACATGACAACCGTGGACGTGAACTTTAAAGGGGTTTTATACACAACAAAGCTTGCACTTCACCATCTACGGTCATCTCCTGTTGGCCAGAGGGAACTCATCCTTGTCGGATCAATGTCAAGCTTCGCTAGCGGACCAATGATGGCAATTTACTCTGCTACTAAGCATGGAGTTTTGGGATTGTTCCGGTCGATAAGATTGTTTCCCAGTAAACGCGACGGTGTCCGGATCAATATGATATGCCCATACTTTGTGGATACGCCAATAGTTCCTATTGGGGGCAAGGTGATGCTGGCAGGGCTACAGATCGCAGTATTAGACGACGTGGTCGACGCTGTCTCAAGATTGGTCTGCGATGAGGGGATTGCTGGAAGATGCCTTGCCATCGCACCCCCCCAAGCAGGGGGTGTCATAGAGGTCGGGGTTCAAGAGATGGAAAATGTGGATGCGTTCTGCAAGAAGGTAGTTAAAGCAATGAATATGCAGAGCAAGATGGAGATTTTCACAAAGTTTCTTGTGGATATCGTGTGGCTTTTGGTGGTGGGACCTGTGCTCAGACTCCTCAGGGAGTAGGGAGGGGAACATTGTTGATGATTTGCCTTTTCTTCTGGCCAATGGTTTGCCTGTTTTCACGTATGTGCCCTCTTTTGCACGGAATATATGATTCTAATGTTGGGCTGAGCATTGCACCTACCCGGCACAGCGGGAACGATTGATACCAAATTGCGTTCGAGTGAGATTATATGATTACAGCGTGGGCGATAGCGGCGGTTTTTCATGTTTTCATTTTTTCCTTCTGGTCTCTGTCCTGTCGTAAAATTTTAAGGATGTATGTAGAGCTCGGTATACCCTCATTATATCAATAAAAGCCTCCCGAGGATTGATCTCCTATGAGAGAGAGTTTTCGGTTTATGAATTCACTTCTCCACACGCTAGATAGAGCCTTCTGTCGAACGGGGTGGGGAAAAATCACGCATGGAGATCGATATGCACCGTAGTGTACAAGTATTGTGGCCACCTTTGTTGCCAAAGCACTTAATCTTTTCCCCTAACCTGAAACCTATTGGCGCCAATAGCTCAGTTGGGAGAGCGTCAGACTGAAGTTCCAATTCAGTTCAACAAACCCGGGGTAATCTGAAGGTCACCCGTTCAATCCGGGTTTGGCGCATTTTTTGTTCTCGGTATGCTTGTAAAATTATCGCGGAGGATCAAACGTTCCTCCCATTATTATTGAACTCCCTCCTCTTCCATCTGTGAGTTTCAATTGTGGGCCGTCTTCAAGTAACTTAGAGTGTCGGTTTAGTTAGGGTCGTATAATCACCAATCCTCTCCTCGACTACTGTGACCATTTGTATTCCCTTTTGAATGTTTTTTTATAACGAAAAAACGGTGTCTATAAGGTGCCAAACCATCGAGCAACTCCAAAGGACCGCTCTCTATCTTTTAATTCTCATTCTATCTCTACCTCATCAGCCCGCCCGCCTAAGAATCCGGCTCTAGGTCTAGAAAGGGATATCCATATCGTCCACACTTACTCCCATTTTCTCCTCACCAGGTGCCTTCGTATGCTCAAGAATATACCCCAAGAGCATATTCGCATACTGCTTCCCGGCAGGCAAATAATGGCCACCAGGATGATATACCCTCCTCTCATCCCCGCCCACACAAGCCCTCGAAAGCTTCAAGCTCCTCTCCTCGTCAACGACCGTATCTAATGACCCCAAAACATGCAACACTGGTGTCTCGATTTTTGGCTCGTAAAAGTAGTCGAAATTCTCTGTGGCCCTGAAGCCAGAGTAACACACACCGAAATTGAACGGTGGATGGGTCGCCGTGAAACTCTCTGGCTTCTTCCTATTCGGGTTCCGCTCCAGCAGTGAGAGCAGCATTGCTGCCAGAGCCGCCCCCTGGGAAAATCCTATCACCCCATCGAACGGACCGTTGGTATCTAGGTAGTTTGAGAGGAACGTCCAGGTCTCGTCTATGCCGACGTATTCCCCAGTTGCATCGTTACGGCGCCACCAGGCGTAGTTTTCGATCGGGGTGGGAGCATCGGGGGATGGGTTTCCCGGGAGGTCGGAGAGGGAGAGTGGGTGAGGAGCGGTCGGGTAGTAGAGGGCGGACTGGGGAGGGAGAGATTTAAGAAGGACCTTTTCGAGGGCTTTGGTTTTGGCGGAGAAGAGGGGGCCAGATTGGGTATAGCCATGGAGGAATAACTGTAATATGACTAGTGTGTTAGAGACAAATGCACAATGAATTTTTTGGAAGACAGGGGGGGATATTCGCGATGCTCACAAGTTTTAGGGGTTTGCGCATTGCAATACCGGTAGGGAGGTTCTGACAAAGTTGCGACGAAGACCTTGGCGGAGGGACGGCAACTGAAGCGGGGTCCGCCAAGGGGGGTCCGCCAAGGCTACTTCTCGGCTTTTCTCTGTAAGTCTTTTCCCACAGTTGGATCTGAATTTGAGGTGATCGCGTAGATGATGACACTGTATGTGGTACCGGTACTCGAGTAGAGGGATGTATTCCGAATTAGGGGGTTTTTTTTTTTTCCCATATTGTACGTTTTCGGTTGTGATAAGCCTATCATATAAATTTACTCGTAACTTATCATAATATTATCATACTCGTATCATAGCATACAGTATGATATGATACTTGTATGATACTCCAGAACATGTGACTATTATTCAGCTTGATTAATAAGCAAATTCTTGCCGTATTTTTCGGTTGGTCACAGGATGAAGGGTCCCACTGCTCATGTGGGATAGGGAACTAACGAAGGGGGTCGGACTCCAATGAATCCTCCAAACTTGGCTCCTCTGGATTTCTCCTCAGTCAGGAGCCCGGAAACTGACAACACTCTCATCACTGACAAAAATGTACAAGTTATGATACCTAAAAAGATCTAAAACACTTTGGTCAAATTAGGACTAGAGCAGTGTCTCATTCCGTCCTCGCAGGCCTATCTTGGCTTACATCTTGCAGGCGGCCATTACTTGAGGTTTCCATACAAAATGTCTCAACTTCAAGCTCAGAGATCATGGCCTTTCATTTTATATTTCCAGAAAATAATGTCATAGATAAATGTAGCAGGTGTCTAGCTACAAGTACTAGTACAATTCCATGCTCTTAAAATTAAATTATCATAGGGTAATGTGCTTTCGTAGATTTTCTGACCCCCTTCCGGCGTTCTAAGGGGGGGTTCACAACCGTGAGTCTCAAGGACACCGCTGATCCTCCACTAACCCCCTTTCGTGTTGACTGGGTTCTGTTGCGTACCGTATGATACCTTTGTGATAGCAGGCTTCAACAAACGGACCAGACAAACCGCCGCCTGCCGAGACAGCCTTACTCGTAGTCTATGATACTATAGTGCTTGTTTGTTGGGACCCATCACAATTCGTGGACTACGGTTTTCGAGTCTTTGTACCGGTACTAGTGCTCGGGTACAAGTTCACAAGCCCCGGTCCGCCCATCACATGAGAGCAGTACCGGTACCATACTCGTACCGGTTCGGTTGGACATGTGGATCAACTTGCCCCGACTTGCGTGGACATGCACAATTGTCTTAACGGTACTGCACTCGTACGCGTACTGTTTCCTATACGGAGATTCATGAATTCCTTCTGTTGCTGGAGCCGTAGTACCGGTATTTGGGGAGGTGAGATGGCCCTCCAAGCCTGAGAGAGAGGGAGGGAATGGGCAGAGGTGAGACCGAGAAGAAGGCTCTTTCTCTACTATGGTTAGTAGCGGCGGCTTTTTATGCTTTCTTTCTTCTGATTTTTTTTCCCTTTCCTACAGCTTAACAAGCATCAAGACCTTCACTTTGGCCAGATTGAACCGTATTCCGACTACCGGTACTGAACCAAGAGACTCTCACTTTGAGGGAGTTATTACCCTCAAGCGGTCACCCCCTTTTGTAACTGACAACCCCCTATCGCCGGTAATCCATAAAGGAACGCCAAAGTCGTGGAACAGGGGAACCATTGAGTCGACAGTATGGCTGGGTGGGTTGTTTGGGACTACTTGCTGGGGTATCAGCTTGTTCTCTGGTCCGGTGAAGTGGTTGGCTTGCACAGCATCGTAATGAGGCTCAACTGGATAGCCGGATAAACAGCTGGCTGCATCCATCCACCCACCTGGGGAAAAAAGCCAAAGACGATAACGCTGCAACCTCCAATTTCTAATCGCTGGTTGCCTACAACAATCTCCAATCCCACCAAACATGTTTCCAACTATTGGTTTGTCGAAAGCCCTTAATCTCGGCTGTCACATTAATGTCCGAGTACTCCGCGATCATGCCAAACGCGAGGCATTTGCGGCTGCCGAACAAACCCGTCAAGCGCTGAGGTACGTCGGTTCATCGCCCACCATCGCGCTTCAGCTCAATTAAGCTTCTCCTGCTAACCGAAACCTGGACAAAACAGGTACATCTCACAAAACACACAACTCCCGCTTCTGCAGAGGACAAAGGCGCAGGTTGAGCTCGCCCTTATGGACTCGAACACTCGCAGGATGAAGATAAAGAATCGATGTGTCACAACTGGACGTGGAAGGGGTGTTTTGAGAAATTTCAGAATATGCCGGGTTAGTGTGCTGCAAAGATATTCTTGGAGGACCGTTATGCTAACAGATCTGGTGCAGTATCAATTTCGGTTGTTAGGCAAGGCCGGTGATCTCCCGGGTGTTAAGAAGGCAAATTGGTAGTCCCTGTCTGATCGGAAGATGGTGGGAATGGGTGGTAGGGTGTCACAAAGCTTGTGGCTGGCTTACCGCTGTACATATGTTTCTTGTATTGATATGAACCATATCCTGGATCTGTTATTTCTCTTTGCAGGTTTCCGGATCACTATGACAGGAGCAACCCACTGCTCATGCGGCATCACTCTCCCCTAAGATACCCGCTGGCCTTGGAAAGCTGCTGTTTAGCATCGGCTTCCTTCCTACTCACTATTTCGTGGTCTGAGCCGAATACTCTGAGCGATAATTGACGTTACCGAAGTGGGATACATATTGTGTTTATGCCCCCGTCTGTTAACCAATTATGTCAATCAATTGATCTTCAGCTGTCATTTTACCTGTGTTTCTGACAATCGGAGGTGTTGTTGGCATTCTGCCACGACCCAGAGGAGGTTTCCCTTCTATGATATCTGGAAGAAGAGTCCCAGAATACATCTCGTGGATCACAGGACGAAGAAACCACGAGGCTACCGCGGCTGGCACCCCAGGTCCTAGGGCGCCTGAGTTGATATCACATGTGGAGTATCAGATAACCCTGAAACTTATAGATGTTTAGGGCAATTTTATATTATACTTCACGATGTGCCCTTCCTTAATTGAGGGGTTGTGAGTTGTGTCGACCACTTTTGGATTTGGCTTTATAAACCTCTGCACCCCCGCCTGCTCAGCCGCCCTCTCGGCCTCAACCTCTCCAACTCAGCCGCTTCTATCTAACGTTCGAACGACATATCACATCCACAAACATGATGTGTCCCCCGGATCCCTACCCTCCCTCGTCGCCCTCCGATTCCCATACAGATGTATGCGAGTCCGGGTTTAGATCCGATTCCATGCAAACAGCCAGCACTGTCTTGGATTCTCCATTGGGAGATATCGCGCCCGCAGTTACGACTTCTAGAGAAGGCCTTAATTCTCTTAATGATTCCTGTGGGGATAAAAACACACATGCTGAGGATGCAAATGGTGATGGCAGGGCGACCTCCTCTGCCGCTCCCGGCGTTGACGTCCCTGAAGTCACTACCCCGGCCAAAAAGCGGACTCGGCAACGCAAGCTTTGGTTTCGTAACCTATCCCCAGTCCGCACTAGGTCCAGCACCGGTAGTCTCCCAGGTATTTCCAAGAACCCCCACATCCAAACTACCCCAAAAGGAGTGGAACGTGCGACCCCAATCAAGCAGCGCAAACTCCGAACCACGCCCAGTACAGCTCCTGCCGTTAAGAAGTCGAATTCTTCCCTTAAACGTCAGTCTGCCCCTATCGGCAGAGTTCAAACGAGATCCATGGCGAGATTGGCTCTGGAAGGTAAACAAATTAAGGACGATATTGGTGATGATGGACAAGCTTCTAAAGTCTACGGAAAAGATGAATCTGATTACGAAGATAAAGTCAGAGGTCACGGTGTTAGCGATAATGAAGCTTTGAGTCCTGGTGGATATTCTAATGAGCGGGGTGCCGGCGCTTGCACTAAATCCGACGGGTCTGCGCCGAGGGATAGAGTTAAAACTCTCGGTGTTAGTGATGATGGGGCTTCGAGCGCTGGCCAATCCGAGTACTTAGTTGACAATGCGTCTGGAACTCCCGCCTGGGTGGATTCTCAGGGCTCGGCTGAAGCACCAGATGAAGGTTCAACTATTTTTCAAGTGGATGGAAGCGGAATTGGGGCTTTCAAGGAAATTGATGCAACCATTTTAGATGGCAAGCTTAACCCTGGGAAGACCGCCCCTACCGAATGCCAAGCCGAGGATAGATTCAGCGTCCAAAACCAATACGGCAGCGTCGAAACCAAGGTCAAACCAGAGCTCGGCTCCCCCACTCACCAGGACCTCAGCGAACGAACCGAATCAGAGGCACAGGACGTCGGCCAGTCTAGTCAACTACCAGAAGTTGCAAATCCCCTGTCCCCTTCAAATGTCAGGTATACCAGGATCCTTCCAACGACCCTGGCTCCCCAGGATTTCATTGCAAACATCGAGTCTTTTAGATTTCAAGATACGTCCGGACCTCACTCAAAAGTCACGCTTCTGTTTATCTATTTCGCTGCCCCAACTTCCCAGACACTATTTGTGGCCTCAACCTCTCCTGTGGGCAATGCTCATTCTGTACCGATTGGCAAGAAGGAGGGTGCTGGGCCTGACTCTGCCTCTACCGGTCTGTATTGCGTCGATTACAAAGTCGATTCCTTGTGGCATTTGGCGGAGGGGGCCCCGCTCAAGGAGCTTCAGGAAGCCAACAAATCTGAGGGGTCACTAACTAAACCTACCGAGCCTTCCCTGGATGCTTTAGTCGCACGCACCTGGGCTGGCATGCGAAAGGTCTTTTGAGATTGGTCAAACATGGGGATTGCTTGGGAGATCGGGGTGGAGATCTGTATGGATCATAGGGGTTCTAAAATGGTGCTATGTTTGCTATACTGTGCCCCCGTCCTTTGACCCAGAATTCTTGTATCGGGGATGATAAAGGAGGCGTTAAAAAACTTTATCGGTAATGCTGAGATTTGTTGTACCCGAGTACTGTTTTGTATGTACTTAGTTTCGTCTATCAATCGAAGCACCGTGAGAGTAATTGGATTGTCCAGAATTTTCAAACAATGTTATGGTGAAGTGAAGACAGGTGTGATGGCGAGTAGTGTTTTATGTGGTGGTATCATGTAACTCACTTACCGTACACAGCGGTTTAACCTCTATATACGGTATTCTTGCTCGGTTATTTTCCTCGGTAAAGCCAATATTCTAGGCTAATCGGATAGAGACACAGAGTTACTTGAACAATTAGGCCATTGTGGGTCTCTTTTTTTTCTCGTCCGAGTTCCTCCCCTCCTGTTTACATAATACCCATGAAGAGCGCACGTCTACTCGTGTTTCTCAGCCAAGATTTGGCACCCAATTTTCTCTAGCGGGTGGCACCAGTTCTTTTCCACTGAAGCGGTATAGCATGCCAATGGTGCACAGCTATATACCATCACCTGGGCCACCTAACTGTTTTTTTTCCCAACTTACGGCATTCAGCTCCGGTGATTCCCTCAGAAGAGTTTAGCTTAGAACTAGCTACACACTATTCGAAAGCTATACCCCTTCTGCGGACGAGGACTTGTGCCACACACTAGGACAAATGGGGTGCCAAATCTTGGCTGAGAAGCACGAGTACTTATCGATAAGCACCGCCTTGTTTAGATTACCACAGGAGCCCCTTCTTGATCAGACAACATATTAACGGGGGGGCACCTGAAATCTCCGCACCCCCCCCCCCCCCTCCAATCCACGTTCCCATCCAGATCCTTTCAAAGATGCCATCACCACCACTACTGCCACCAAAACCCCTGACACCGCACGACCTACGCCTAGCCTGCCGAAACGGAACCTACAGCACAACAACCAGCCTAACCATCCCAACAGTGCAGTGCAACCTCCTAGTCCTCCCATCCCGCTACGCCCCCTCCTTCACACAACTCTGCGCGCGGAACCCGGTCTCCTGCCCGCTCCTCCACTCCACCCTCCCCGGAAGTAAGACCACCCCACTAGCGCCAGGGGCGAACCTGGCAACCGACCTGCCAAAGTACAACGTATACAAGGACGGGAAACTGCTCGCGGAGGGGGATGGGATCGCTTCGGTGGAGAAGTACTGGACGGAGGATCATGTCGGGTTCCTGATCGGTTGCTCCTTCTCCTTTGAGTGGAGGCTGGCCGCTGCTGGGTTCCCACCCAAGCACACGCTTTGCGTGCCTGTCCGGTGCGTACCCATGTTCCGGACGGGGGTCCCGTTGTCGCCGGCTGGGGAGTTTACGGGTGGGTGCTTGGTTGTCTCGATGAGGGCTTATAAAGAGGAGGATGTGGCGGAGGTTAGGCGCATCACGCGTGCGTTCAGGAGGCAGCATGGAGAGCCCGTGGCCTGGGGGTGGGATGGGGCCAGGATGCTGGGGATTGAGGGGAAGGTTAGAGAGGGGTTGGTGGACTTTGGGGAGTGGGTTGGGATTGATGGGGAGGTTGGGGAGGTTCCGGTTTTCTGGGGGTGTGGAGTCACGCCGCAGGTTGCGGTCATGGAAAGTGGGATTGAGGGGGTAGTTATTAGCCATGTTCCTGGGTGTATGTTTGTTACGGATGTCCCGGTCGAGGATGAAGAGGTATCTGGTCTTAAATTATGATCACTTGCAGAGAGTTTGGTTCTGTTAATTTGCATTTGATGCAATATTAGTAATTGTCAAAGCCTCAGTGCTTGGTGGATTCTTCACAATGAATCACTCGAACCCCGTCGCCTCCACTCCTTTATCATCAAATTTTGTCATGGTCTGATGAACACTCAATTAAACCTATGAAGCCCCGGAGAACCATATTATCATATCTCACCTAGAGTACCCCCAGCACAGATAGCAGGTGACTGCTTCTCAGGGAAGATAAATTCCAAACTAATAAAACATGATCTACACAATAGGACAGATGCAAGCCAGCAAGCTAGTGAAATAGGGCTTACCCCTGAGTAGGTTGTGGACAACAAATTTTTTAGGAGGCGGATAAGTGAATGGGTGTTTTCCTGTCCGCTAGAAGGTCCTTTTGTCCGTAGAAGTCACCCACTATGGAGATAACCATATCGAGAACGCCAAAGGTATCCGGTTGCGAAAGGCTATCTACGGTTCGTAGTATTGGCGCGTTATGATTTGGCTGATGCTTTTGTCCTGGCTGTTGAAGTTCCTGGAGCCTCCGGTTTTGAATAGATTGCAAAGTTGCCTTGAGTCGAGACGCAAGTCCTAGTCCTTTAGTTTCTTTGGTTTCTGCAAAGTTTTCGGCCTTTAGGGAAGGTATGGGCTCTGGGGTGACTTCATGTTGAGGAGTTTCCTCAGACTCGACAACTGCTTCAATCTCGGGGGCGGTGAGAGAGTCCGGGGTCTGATCGGGTAGCTCTGTAGCTGATGTGGCTATGGTGCCCTCATCTTGCGCGACAATGAACTCCTGAACTTCCTCATTCCCTTCATCTTCATCTTCACCATCTTCGGTCTCCTCCTCTCCCTGGTCACCTGGAATTCTTCCACTTTGCAAGGAAGTCGCCATACGTTCCCTAATGATGAGACATCGTTTCCCTAGCTCCCTCACAATGCTAGTCTCGTCCGCAGTCAAGCAATCGTCGAGCCTCATTAACAACCCCCATAACCACTGCGACCAACATCTACCGTTTTTATGCTTTGCGATCTCAGACATACGTTGGGTCAACCACCTCAAGAGTCTTAGTACCGTCTGCTGATCGATTCCCCAGAGCTCCTTGGGTGTAGGGTGAGTGTTGAAGATATGTTGCTGCCATAAAGAGCGCTGTTTACGGACAGGAAGACTTGGCGATACGGCTAGCGGTAGTAACGGGGTAGGCGGATTCGCGTGTAGATTCCGGCGAACAGAGCGGAAGGATGTGAGGAGAGTATTATGCCAGAGTGAGAGGGCGGTGGGTAATTCGATTACAGGGATAGCAGCAGCTGGATCTACAGCAGCGGTATAGGCTCCATCATTATACCAACCTTGCTCATCATCATCAACCTCTTGCTCGTCAAAAATCTCCCCTTCCTCAAGCTCGTCAACCGGCTGCTCAATAGCCTCTGGCTCGTCATCGTCGTAGTTGAGAGTACTGGATTGTAGAATGGGAAGCGGTGGCGGTCTTCTGGTCTTCTGACCTGCAACAAGCAGTGTCGGAACTCCTTTTGCCTCAGACCTACACCTACTGGTTAGCTATCTATTACTTCCATCACATTAACACGATTCCAACGAAGTGAGGCTTCACTACTCACCTGACCATGCGCAAGTAATCCACTCCATCGTTCGCGGGGCCATAAAAATCATCCGGTCCACCTTCAAGACCAGGAAACGCGCCGCGCTGGCCGGTGGCAGGATCGATATAACCTTTGCTAGCATCAAAGTCGAAACCACTATTATCGCCAGAATTGTACCGGGGACGCTTATTGGCTCCGTTATCATGATTGCTGCTGTAGCTGGTACCGGCCTCGTTATTATTCTGGGGATTCCTGCCTTTGTGCTGGCCTCTCTTCTTGCGTTTCGTCATTGTGTTCCCTCTTCCAAAGAGCTGCGGGTGCTGTCAGGGGTGGGGCAAAATGAAGAGTAAGTTTGTGAAGGTTAGAACGCCAAGGTGATAGCTGCTAGGGAGGCGGCTGGTACTTGACGATTCGTAAAGTATTCGGATTGTTTTCTTTCCTTGGCGCCAAGTCCCCATGGAATTGAGGCCCCTACCGTACCAAGGACTTGGCGCCAAGGAAATAAGACCATCCGAATACTTTATGAATCGCCAAGTAGAGTGCTTGCCGAAACAAAGACCTTTAACCCGTGTGCAACCGCAACCTTGCACAAGTTTAAAAGTGCCTCACCTGCTACGAGTATGATACAAGTACCTGTACCGTACAATACCGTACTGTATGAACACTGCTGCTAAAAGAATGGTGGCACAAAAGAATACCCTACGGGTTCAACCTATCCTATAACGGTAATTAGAGCCAATAGGTAAAAAAACGAAATATGGGTCTCAGATTCCGGCTACCGGTATGGTATCGGTAGTGATCTGTAATCCACTTGGTTTTGGGAACCATCCCCAATGTTTTCCATTACTCGTAGACTACTCGCGCGGCCGAGTTGAAGCCGGACACCTAAGGTGACAATTCCCATACAAAGTGTCCGGCTTCAACTCGGCCGCGCGAGTATTCCATTATCACAGTGCCGGTACCGCGGTGTCAATAGGTGGAAGAGCTTGGCACTTCGCTGGTTTAGGCCAAAGTTTTTCCATTCCAAGTAAGATGTTTTACGGAATGGGATGGGATGGGATGGCCGTAACCTTAAAGATAGGTTTGGTATTTTTTTTGTTCTCCCAATACAGGTATTTGATTACCGTATAGCATTTCTATGTCTAAAGTTGGCTCAGATCTTGTCAAACCTGGTCGTAGATAATCAGAAATATATCGATACGGAGCAGGGAGTTCTCTTACGGGTGCCGTATCATACAGATTCTGAAGTGACCCAGGGAGAAAATGTTATCAGGTACAGATTATACCCACACCGTGCTACGTTATACCTTCAGTGCCGCCTTCATCGGTAGGTCGTGTTAGGGCGTATTAACTTTCCTCAACAACCTTCTATGATCCCATTCGTTTTTTTGTGCTCTTCTGAGTGGATCGTCTCTGTCTTCACGTTTCCCTGCTCGCCCTCACCCCCGCTTTGTCCCTGCTCTAGTACTGGAGTAGTTGCTCGTTCCAACAAGATTACCGGTACCGCTTTATCCGCCACTCAGTAAACCGCCATCTTCAAATCTCCCTGCCGATCACTCCGCTGCGATGCGCATCTTCGAGCTGGGAACCCCAAACCCCCAAGAGCCTTCAATTCTCAATACGAGCACCACTCCTCCAGCCTCCACCAAATCGCCGCCTCTCTCATTACCCGGTGAGTTGATTTGTCTGGTCCTGGACTTTCTGTCACCGCGAGATCAGGAGACACTTGCTGCTGTGTGCAAGGTTAATCGGCAGTGGTACTTTGCTGCCATTCCTTACCTGTAAGCCCCGCGATTTGTGAAAACCCGCGAGAAATCTGACAATAGGCAGTTAGCCCGGAATGCTGATTGAACGCCTGCTTTTTATTTCTACAGATATCGTTATCCAAAAATCACATCGTTAAACTACACTAAATTTATAACCACTATCTGCCCCTCAGGTACTCATGTCAAGCCTTCGAGATTTGCTGGATTGGTAAAGCGTATCAACCTATCTCGCATTGTCCATGATAGCAGTCCGTCATCAAATGCGAGGCTTTTGCACCGTACTCAGGGATCACTGGAAGAATTTGTTGCCCCGCAGGCTTCCTTCGGATATGCGGCTTTGGTAGCTGTCAGAAACTGCAAGCAGCTCCGTCTACTCGACTTATCTCTCGTCTCGCAACCAATTAAGCTCGAGTCACTCTTTCAGAATATTCAGGATCTTCCCCATCTAGTGACCCTCTATTTTCCCCGATCCTCAACACTAGATAATAGCAAGTCAACTTTCAACTGGCCGCCCCGCCTCGAACGTTTCTCACTCGCGGGGAGGATTGGTGATTCGTTCTTGATCAACACCTGTCTCCCGTCCACCCTCCACGAGCTGCAGATAGCGCATTGTCCATTTGTGAAGGACACATCGATCAAGTATCTACTAAATAGGTCGTCACACCAACTCACCGTCTTGAGCATTAACTATCACATCCCTTGTTTGGGGTTCAATGCCTTTGACAGAGTTCTCAACATCTGCCCTCACCTGGAGAAGCTCACTATCGCTGTGGATTATGTATCAGCACACTTGTTTGACGAAGAGAATACGCCGTCAGGGCACCCACTCCGCTGGCTCGATTTAGAATCCTCCGGCAACCCAGGCGTTGAGAAAAAAATCACTCCAGATGACGTTTTCATTGCTATCGCCGAAGAACGCCTAAGCGAGCTACGCGTGGTCCGCGCGAGTAAGAGGCTCGGGTGGGAGGAGAGGAACTCGAGGCGCATGATGATGGACCTCAACGAGCTCTTGGAAACACGGGCAGAACATCTGGGTGAGACGGGTGCCGGTGTTTGGATCTTTGAAAGCGAGTACTCTGGCAAGGGCGAGGCGTTCAGGGGGTTCCTGAGGTAGGTGTTACTCTTCCTCCAGCAACGGGGAAAGGTGATTGAATTGGTGATGTACTGCATGTGCGAATGTGGATGTTAGTTTCTTTCTTTCTTTTCCCCCTCCCTTCTCGCACTGCTTCAACGTTAAACCGTACCACACTCGACCAGATTGTAGCGATAGATGTTACTGGAACGAAGGGAGTATGAGTATGGAAATTCAGACTCATTGTTTGTCATATAGTGTGATACTTATGATACATTTCTCACTTTCGTACTTACCCTATCCGAACTCAAATCTATTTTTTGAAGTGCGGGGAATTGATGAAAAAAACAAAAACAAAAAAACAAAGAACGGTTATTATTTTTGTGCATCATACCACCATGTTTTTCTTTTTCTTTTTCTCGTTTTGTTACCCTTTCTTGCCTTGTCGTTATTTCTTCACTTATCACTTGTCGATCCGTGATAGGATGAATACAGGAGGTTCAACGTCTGCAGACTTTGCAAACCTTACAAACCGCTACACGGCTTGTACCCCATTAGAGAAAGCACCCCACCGGCATCGTCTATTACCGTATTGCAACAAACAAACCCCCATTCTATTTTCGGCCGGATGCACCATTATTATCGCTATCGAGAGCTGGGAAGAAACGGGAATATCATGCTGTATCACTCGAGTCCAAATGACAATACAGTATTTATTTTCCACCTCCCGTTAAATGTACGGTCACTAGAATCGGGCTCTGATCACAGTGCGCAGCACTTGTGCTGCCATATCACAATGTTTGTCGGGTTTGTTTGCTCTTTAAACGCCAAACTTCACTTTTCTTCACTTTTCTTCACTTGTTTGCTCCCTGCGTGGATGGGAGGATCGATCGAGACCGTGGATTTAGTACTGTTATAATTGATTGGAGATGGTGGTAATAGTCCCGCTATGCTCGCACAGCTTGGGGTACTGTAAGATTGCACGGCGATAGGCTCCACCCTCCCCCCCCCCTCTCCCTGCGTATGTGTTAAGCTGGATGCACTAAAGTGCCGTGGGTAGAACACAAGACCGGTATATGGGCGGTGAAATATTGGTATAATAGCTCCCCTGCTATGATGTTATGAGATAAATGGTGGACTCGGATATGTCTTCTCTGTGTCACCAGTTTCACATGGCTTGACAAACCGGCTTCGAGTACCGTACAGTGCCGCACAGTGCCCACGCCGCATTGCATAAAATTGGCATGGCGGAGCAGGCGCCTAAAAAAAAAACTCAATCGATCAATCACTCGGGCTGCTGAGAGTCGGTGATCCTTGCGGGTTTGGTGGTCTTAGGATACGCTGTATGTTTCGCAGGAAAAAGAAAACATCCGTAGTTCTCCCTGGTGGCCGGTTTCCAGGTCTCACCCATGAGCACTGGGCTGCTAGTGAGATACCATCTAGCCATGGCTCGTATGCAGTTCAAGTTAAGTCCTCAACTTATGGGAGGAGGGAAGGAATTTTGTGAAAGCTTTGTGATTCCCACCTTTCTTCTCAGGAGGGGATACTGGTATCTACCTACCGGTCTGACGGCGTAACCAGTAGGGCGGTACCAGTATTCGCGACATCCGAGTAAGTTTGAAGTGTGGTGGGGCGGGAAAAGGCAAGAGTTGTCTTCCGCTGTTGGGTCGCATTGCTACAGTACTCGTAGGCTTTTAGTTGATATCTGTGTTTGTGTGTGGGAGTGAGGATACAGTATGGTGCTCCCGTGGGCACTCGCCTCATGTTCGTGTGCCTGCATGGGTCGTAGGAAAGAGGGTGGTCGAAGGCTGAATTCCTTTCAAAAGAGGCTGGTACATGGAATTATAAGAGTGCGCGGCTGAGTTAGGCCACTTTAACTTATTGTTAAAGCCCAACGTTCCGTCTCTCCATACGGTGATTGGACTTGGTGTTGTGGGGGTGATGGTGCTCATACTTGTGAGGCTTGGGGTTCTCGGTACCTCGACTGATGTAGTTGTATCATGCTCCTGGAGGGTGGAATCAATTTTAGGGCCAGTAATTGAAGCGTGCCTTCTCCGAGACAGTGCGTGCCAGCCTGAGAGAATGGTGACGGAAAACCTCATTTTTGTTGAAGAAAGTACTGTGGGCAGAAAACTAGGCGTTGGACCGTACAGTATCGGAAACTTGGAACGTCTTTGCGGTGGGGATTCAACGGTACCCGGACAGGAGGGTCGAAGTTCTTGAGCGAGGGGAGGTGTACGGGATTCGGTAGAAGTCTATTTTGTAGAAGCCACGGTGCACATTAAACAATCTTCCGTGAGGCGGTGCAGAGCACAGGGACACGGCCCCTTCGCTTCACCCCCCCGTAGAAACTAGATTTTCCTAGCGCGGTCGTGTTGGAGGTGGGCTGTGTTTGGGAATTGCCATCTTTGGTGTCCGTAGGTTCATTCGACCCGGCTGTGCCTGTATATCACCTGGTACGCAGTATTAGTGAGAATGGGGAAGGTATACTACCACATTGCCAGCCTTATTGCGGTGCCGGAAGCATATATTAAACCGGTGATAGGGAGTAGTGACTCGGTCGCTCAAGAAAACAACGGTATGGCTGTATTGAGTTTGGGAGGTGTCGAGAGCTTCTAGTCTCGCTGGGTAAGACCAGTAGTGTGCCCCAGGAGTCCCGGATACCTTCCCAACCATTGCAACCGCCACCGGTACAAGGGTCTCCCATGAATTGATGGTACAGAGCAAGGATCTGAGCTTAGAGTGCAGTGGTACGGCGCTTATCAAGTGTGTACCATAATTATGTCCAAATCAGAACTATTAAATTCAACAAAGTGAGAACATCATAATCATAGCTAGGCATTGCTTTATTTTCCTTTGTTTCTGCTTTTACTTTGGCCATTATCCAATTCATACCTGGAGAGAGTAAAAAAACAAGATCATCCAATTTTTCAAAGATAAGAGTGGCGTGTACATTATCAAATAGCTATGAAGAGAGGAAACAAGGAAAAGCCCAAGAATGACAAAGGAGAAAAACAGATGCAGTAGCCACTAAAAACCATTCCTCCTTCCCTCTTGACGTTGTTGTAGATCCACTGTGGAAAGCATTGCTGGCAGTGCTGCTGCCTTTGTCGGTAGGGATTGTTGGCACCGATATATCCATAGTGACAATGAGGGCACTTGGTGTGGGGTGAAGGGCGGCGGGGGGTCAACGAAAAAATACGAGATATAGCGAGCCGTCGCGAGCTTGGAGATCTTGTGTTTAGGGGGTTCGGGGGTAGTTTATAGTCGTGGTGAACCAAGGACCTCTGATGGTGTAGCTATGACCCCACACTAAGAAGGTATCCGGCTATACCTTTTTCCGGCAGACCTCCAAACTAGTGCTCATATCCTGGTGGTATGTTCTGTGAGCTTTGCCCAATTGGCCATGGGTTCTCCAAATCCGGCATTGTGTCTTTACCTAATACCACCTATGGCCCAAACCATTTCACCTACAAAGCTACCGGAAATAAAAATTGATAAAATAAAAATAAAATTTCAGGCTAATAATACTAAACTAACAAAATAAAATCACCTGAAAAAGGCTCAGAAAATGAAAACAGACAGAAATATCATTGACAGAGGGGAAATAAATATAAATAAAAAAAGAATTAAAAGGTTCCGCTACAAGTGAAAAAAAAAAAAAAAGCAGAGAGAGAGAAAGAAAGACAGAAAGAAAGTGAAGGAGTGGAAGGGCAAAAGGGAGAGTTCAAAGGTGGAGAAAGAGAAAGTGAGAAAGTGGAAAAGAGAGAAAAAGCGAAAGAGAGCAAGTAAACAATAGTATGTAGAGAGAAGAGAGAGAGAAAGAAAGAAGAAATCAAAAGAGAAAGAGGGTGTACATCGGAGGGTAAGACAGGATGGGGGAGAGCCAAAGAGAGAGAGAGAGAGCCGGAAAAAGACAGAGCTGGAAAAAGACAGAGCAGAAGAGAGAGTGTTTGAGGGAGTGTGGAAGGGATAGGGCGAGAGAGAGAGAGAGAGCGAGAGAGTGTGAGGCGGGGGAGAGGGAGAGTGAGCGGCAACTAGTATTTAGTATGACCACCATTGGCGCTGAGAACACTATCGACACGATCGATCATAGTGTCAAGAAGCTGTCCAAGTTCGTAGTCTGTAATTTGATTCCACTGATTTTGAATTTCCGTGATCATGTCCTTGTTGTTTTGAGGCCGAGGGTGAAGCTTACTAATACGAGACTTCATTAACCTCCAGATAGCTTCGATGGGGTTGAGGTCTGGTGAGGTGGCAGGCCAAGGTAGAAGGTAGTTATATAATCCACGGTCTTGCAGGTCAGTAACTGTGCTACGAGCTCTGTGAGGTGAGGCATTATCGTGTTGAATATAAACGTAGTCATGGGTTCGGGCAGACTCATCATTCCAAAATTGATCCAAATGGGGCAGAATATGAGCCTGATATCCTTTTGCCGTGATAGTCTTCCCCCAGCTGGCTTTATCCCATATCACAAGTGGTCCTTTGCGGCGGCCAACAAAGCAAGCCCATACCATAATTGCCTCCTGCTTTTTAAACTTTGGAACAAGACATGATTCCGCGAACTCTTCATCTACTCTCCGAGTAACCCAAACCCGGCCAGGTGCTCCTCCTACATTGAAGGCGCACTCGTCCGTCCAGATAACCTTAGACCAATCCCCTGTACCCCAAACCTTGTAGGTATCGGCCCAGGAGCTGCGTGCCTATTATTTCATGTCCTATATTAGTACTGTGAATAAAGGAAAAAAACCAACCACAGCAACTTTAACTTGTGTTATCCACTATCTCTATTGGGTTAACTGGAACAGACAGGGATATATTTGGATAGATAACCTTAAATAACCAGTTCGTAACTGGTTGGAGACTGAAGGCCGAGTGGAGATAGTGGATAACACAAGGCTTTACGGTACCCGGCACTTGGTACAGTGGCTTGCCATGGGATGTATTGGGCAGGGAGGGGTAGTAATGGGATGTAGTTTGTTGGGGAGGGGGGGGCGTTTAACGGCCAGAGTGGGGGAGAGGAAAAGGGAATACATACAAGGCGGGTTTTGTTTGAGAGATAAGGCTTCTTCCGGGCAACACGCCTATGATACCCAGCCGAGATCATAGTTCGACGAAGAGTACGGTCACAGGCTGTGAGACCAGCCATACGTGCAATCTCGATGTAAGGCTTACGGCGGTTCTCGGCTGAGGTTGTTGTCAACCTAATTAGCTTCTCACGGTGCGGGGTGCGGAGAATTGTTCGTCGCCCACGTGTATTCCTATGAGGTGGAGTGGTGGGTGGGTGGGCAATACGATATACGGTGGAGAGAGCAACCCCGGTTGCAGATGATATTTGGCGATAGGGCCAGTGAGCAAAGTGCTTGAGAGCACGAATTTTATGACAAAGAGTGATGTCAACTTCAGTACGGAGAGGTGGTGTATTGATTCTAGCAGGTTCGATTCTAGGATCTGGGCCAAGGTCTGATACTGGAGATTCAGAACGAGTTGTAACTATACTGAGTTAGCCCCTATATCATATTCTGATTTCGAAACAGGACAAGGATAAAAATCTTATTTGAACGTACTAGCACCTGACCAATTCTCACTAGCTTCTACTACAGGTACGATAGAGCATGGGGAAGGAGTACTATACCCTAGCTCAGAATCAGTATCAATCAGATACTCTGACTCTGAGCCTGGCTTTGTTGAAGTGGTAGAGGTAGTTAAGGGCCTATTAGGGAAGGAGATGTTGGACTCATCGTCATCGGAGGTTTCAGCATCGAAGAGCCATGTGCGTAATGCACTTGGACTTCCTGGAACCGGAAGGTTTGGCACACTTTGAGGGGGAGATTGGGAAGACATCAGCAGAAGACTGCAGTCAGAAATGCGATGAGAAGTAATAGTCTTATTGGTATAACCCCCGGGTTCTTTAAGTTCCTATTTATGTTAACCCTTGCCACAAGCATTCATGAGATATCACTCGTATAGCTCGATCACGACACCATCTTTTGGTTTTTACCGGTAAACTTCGGATAGTTAAGACAAGAATTACTCTCATGATTCTCCTGAACGATCTTGTCACTATCTGTATCATCGCTCTACTCTCTGAATCTATACTACACTAGTTTTGGTTTAAGCGAGAATACCAACACTGCTTTCTATCTACAAATCAGCATTCACTCTTTGTCGCACATGACCATGGGTTGGAACGCCTCAGTTATCCTGTGTTCCATAATTCGCTTTGCAACGGAGAAAGACCACCCCTGCTCTGTACCATGAATACATGATAGACCCTTGTACCAGGGGTTGTATGTCACTTGCAAGAAGTATAATACTCAAGTACCTTTCCTCGATAAGACTATAGTCTACTGCTTCATAGGCACGCCTACCCTAATAGCAAGCTAGCTTTAAACCGCACGTACTGTATCCCTTCCCAAAGATAATACACCCAGCTGAATGTGTGGCCTGGAGGTTTGTTGGTGGGAACTGGATAGGGGTCAATGATGGTTTCTGCTTGATAAGTGCCCCTTTGGGCTTGGCGGTGGATTACAAAAGAATATCAATGACTCGACTTTTCAACTCGCCTGAATTGATCGCCAATTTCCATCTCCAGCTATGTCTGCTAGTTCTTGGGACTTTCTTGTAACGTCGTTGGAATCAGGCTTAGAGTCTAAATTTTTTCTCACTTATTATGTTTTGGCGGCTTGTTTTTGCTATGAGGCTCCCAGCCCCGCGCCAAGCCGTAGATAGCCCCACCTCCGGTAGCCTTCAATTAAACATACACTTTTGACTCACAAAACAGAACGAAGAGAGTATATCAGGTCTGCAGTGAGCGTCTTTCGATTCCTCAACTTCTCAAACAAACATTTGCAAAATGTCTTCCTCCGAGCCTTTGACCGAGCAGACCGCTGCCCTCTCTGTTGCTGAAGGCGATGCAGGTGAAAGCGTTCCAATTGGGTAATCTCCCTTGCTCGTCCCCAGCAAACATTCCACGATCGGTCGTTGACTCTTGAGTTAGTCCCGACGGGAAGCCACTCTCCAAATCGGCCATCAAGAAGCTCCAGAAGGAGAGAGAGAAAGCAGAGAAAGCAGCTAAACGTGCAGCCATGGAAGCACAGCAGAAGGCAGCCCGCGAAGCCGCTAACGTCGACCACGCAACTGAGAACTACGGAATAAAGAAGATGATCCAATCGACTGAGCGTTCAGGAACAAAGCGTATCCAGCTCGCCAAATTGACTGCGGCAGACGACGGGACGGAAGTTGTGTTTCGTGCTAGACTCCAGAATGCTAGAGCACAGGGGGCAAAGATGTGTTTTGTTGTTCTCCGTCAGCAGAGTGACTCTATTCAGGGGGTTCTTACTGTCAATGCTGAAGGCAGTGTATCGAAGCAAATGGTCAAGTGGGCATCTGGTGTCAATTTTGAGAGTGTTGTTCTAGTTCATGGAAAAATCACGCGGACTCCCGAGCCGGTTACCTCTGCTAGTCTCTCTGATGTAGAGGTGCAGGTTACAAAGTTTTTTGTCATTGCAGAGGCAGAGCCAATGCTACCCATTCAATTCGATGATGCCAGCAGAAGCCTTAAGGAGGTTGAAGCGGGTGCCGCCACCGTTTCCCTTACTACTAGGTTGGACAACAGAGTCATCGATCTGAGAATTCTAAGCAACCAAGCTATCTTCAAGATTTCATCAGGCGTCTGTATGCTCTTCAAGGAGTACCTACTCAAGCACAATTTTGTCGAGGTTCACACACCCAAGTTAATTGCAGCTGCTAGTGAAGGCGGCTCCAACGTGTTCAAAGTCCAGTACTTCAACAGGGACGCCTATCTTGCACAGAGCCCGCAGCTGTACAAGCAGATGCTTATCGCCGGCGACTTTGAGCGTGTGTTTGAGATTGCTCCAGTCTTCCGAGCTGAAAATTCCCAGACCCATAGGCACATGACAGAGGTTTGAGCCACGTATTTCCCTCAAGCAAGTGCTGATTTTTTATGTGTGAGCTGACAATTCTTCGGCTTTTTAGTTCACCGGCTTGGATTTAGAAATGGCGTTTGAGGAGCATTACCATGAGGTGATCGAAATTCTTGAAGGGCTATTCGTCTACATCTTTGAAGGCTTGCAGGAGCGCTTTTCGAAGGAGATAGCTATCGTCCGGGCCCAATACCCGGTAGAGGAGTTCAAGGTTCCAAAGGACGGGAAAGTTCTGCGCCTAGCCTTTAAGCAAGGGATAGCAATGCTCCGTGAGGCGGGGCATGAAGTTCCAGACCTAGAAGATCTTAGTACGGAAATGGAACGCACTCTCGGTAGATTGGTTGCAGAGAAGTACGGCGAAGACTTTTACATCCTGGACAAATTCCCTCTAGCTGTTCGTCCACTCCCACCCCCCACCACCTCATCTGGTTCTCTTTTCCCTTGCTGACATGATATCTATTCCTTCTTTCTTTCTTTTCCTTGCAAAACAAACAGGTTAGACCATTCTACACCATGCCTGATCCGGCGGACTCCCAATACTCCAACTCCTATGACTTTTTCATGCGAGGCGAAGAAATCCTCTCCGGCGCGCAGAGGGTACACAACAGCCAGTTTCTTGCTGAGCGCATGTCTTCCCTCGGCATCGATCCCAAGACTCCTGGTCTGGAGGACTACGTCGACGCTTTCAGGTACGGAGCCCCACCTCATGCGGGTGGCGGTATTGGGCTCGAGAGGGTTGTTTTCTTGTGGTTGGGCCTCGGGAATATCAGGCGTGCGAGTGCATTCCCTAGAGACCCGGTGCGTTTGAGACCTTAAAATGGGATATCGTCGCTACCAATGTTTTCTTTTTGTTCGTTCAAAAACACCACTCAACTTTCAGTTTGGGAATGATGAAAAAATATTAGTGCAAGTCAGGTTTCGAAAAAGACAACAAGAAGAAAAAAGCCACTAGGTTGTGTTGGTCTCTCGTACAAATTTTGCATTCGTCTTTATAATAATGTGAAATCTGAATTGAGACCTTTAAGCACATAGTCGGACCCCACCCACCAATTATCCTGTCCTGTGCAAGTGCTGCACCGCACTTGATCAGCCAATGTGCGGGTCGGGACGTTTCTGTGCGGCACCCCCACAGCAGAGGACTCGTAAAGTAATTGAATGCCGTAACTTGATTCCAAAAACATTATGCGACTGCCGAGAGGAACCCACACGTAGAATTAGCGGGCTAGCTAAATTAGCTATAAGTGCGATGCCACGAAAAAAGAAAAAGAAAAAAAAGAGTTCTTGCGATTCCCTATCACCGTCGGGTCGTAATCTCTGGATCGAGAGGTAGAAGTTCCGGGGATGATAGGATTACAGTATCGTAATGCCCCACGGACAAGATGTAGTCTGCTTGATTCATTCAGCCGCTCAGCATCCCAGTTACTGGCGATATTCACAATTTCATTAACAAACAAGTAAAACTAAGCCTTATCAAGGGTTAACACTGAGATTTACGAAGATATTCTGAGGGTAGATCGAAAGCGGGGGGGTCTTTTTTTTTGCGGTACCGGTAGAGCAGGTACTGTATGTTACTGCAGTAGTAGTAGTGGAAGTGGAAGTGGAAGTGGAAATACGGGTCCGCACCAAGACTTGACAGAAAATGCCCATACCCAAACCGCCGGTGTCCTAGCACTTCACGAAACAGAGTATGTAAATCGCGCCGGTGACTGGAACTTTGTTTTCTCTCTTCTCTTCGCCCAACCTATGGTATATCCCGAACAATCCGGGTATCCAGCGGCAACCCAAGTGGAAGTTGACGACGAGCGAGGGAGTACGAGTAGTAATGTAAGGAAAGAAAAAGAAAAAAAGGGCAGGCAGCTCCTGCGGTTTTATAGACTGGGTTGGGGGATGAGTCCGTGAGCCGAAGGCTAAAAGGACACATAGTGAAAATCCCTCGCCTTCCCTAACTCTACGGTGCTCACTCGCCGCTGTGAGAACAGCGTGAATTGAGGGGGCGAGGCACCGGGCCACAGCAAGATGTCATGGACATGATGTTGGAATAGAAACGCCAGACCAAAGTCACCTATCATCATATAACCGCCAGTTGGCCCTGGTCCCCTTACTTTTCCACTCCTCCTTCCTTCCTTCCTTTCCTTGTATCTTGCTTGTGCGTCCCACCCGGGTTGCAGTTCCGTTTCGTCATCACCTTCCCTGCCCTCTTTCCTCCTCACCCATTCCGTGCTGGCCAGCAGACAGCGGCAATGCTGCCCAAAAATCGGTGTGGTGATTTACGACAGATCGGGGGGAGGATAAGAGGGGGAAGGAAAGGAATGTGACCACAAGCCTAGATACAGGTACTGTACTGGGTTGGGATGTTCAGTAGACCGGCGATGTCTGGGTTTCGGTTTGCGCTGGGTACTTAAACCATTTAGCATTGCTGGGCTTGGTACTCGGGTGTTGATGGTGGTTCGTCGGCTGTGCTTTCCGTGAGAGAGATGAGTAGAGGTGGAAAGGCGGCGGTTGGAGAGAGGGCTGTGGTGGAGATGGGAAGCGAGTGCGGATAATAGTTGTCTTGTGTAATTTTGGATGGCGGGGTGGGGGGGAGAAGAAGTAGGAGGCAATTATTTCGCACTAGTATAAGAGGTGGTGGGGTGGTGGGGTACTAATAAAGAGAAACGTACTAAGATACGGTAATCGTTCTGTTTTGTGCGATGTTGGTTCGGTGCTTTGTGTGCTGTAGTAGGAGGAAATGAAGGAGGTATGATATAAATTTATGATGGAGAATGAGATTTGTTCCGCACCTGGGCCTTGATAGTGAGAGCGGGCTCTTGGTAATAGGAAGGAGATCACGATGCAGGATCGTGTACCGCTGGGGAAAAGTTTATGATACCGGTAGCGGAGATCCAAAAAAAGAGATGACCGGAACGTGATTTGAACACGCAACCTTCTGATCTGGAGTCAGACGCGCTACCGTTGCGCCATCCAGCCTATAGTAATTGTAAATGGAGCAATAGGTTATATATTTGCTGCAGCTGTTTAGAAACAGGAGTGGATCCCGAATTGTCAGAGCATAATACTCGGCGGGAGCATCCAAACGCCTCCCAAATACGATTGAATCAAGAGTTTGCAAGTGGACGGGAGTCTCATTTCACGATATCATGGATGAGCCCATCACTTGACTTCACCTAGCTACCGCTACCTCCCTAGTTTTCAACACCAGAGGGGAAAAAAATCACTCGAAGAAATTGTTATTAGAGATTTCAGCAGAACTTGGGTCAATACCGAGTTTTTCAAACTGCACCAAAGCACAAGCTAGGATAAAAAGGTTCTATTATAGCGATCCCTAAGTATAGCATCATGTCCGAAAAAAAATATGTCCTTAATTGTGATTGGGGGAAGGGTGGTACCTATGTTCGGAGTTTTAGAAGCCTGCTTGGATTTGAAGGCAATGCACACTTCCCATCTCCTCTCCCAGTAGATACCGTATTTGTAGCTCTCGGGGAATCTGGGAAGGGGCTCTAAGACATTTGCTTTCCCTGGCGTCCTGGGGCTCAGGGTAATCCGGACCAGGGGTGAGATTTTGGTCCTTAAACGGGTCCCAAATGCCCTTAACCAATCTCCGTAGAAACGGTTCCCAGAATTGTGGCTACTCTCTAATCTACCTTGATTGTGTGGAAGGTAGACCGGGACTATCAAGCTCTAATTCTGCGAAGAATCAGTATAGATCATGTTCAGAAGGAGGAAATTGTGCCTGAGAAGCCAGTACACACGACACCCACACCCCTAGACCCAGTCCCCCACTGCCTTGGTGAGTGATGCCGGGTGGGTCGGAGAGGTGAAACGGTGAATTACCGGCACCTCCAGGAAATTGGGCTGGAGGAACCCTACATTTGCTGCAATTCCCAAAACCTGTACTATTGACTAGCGGTGTACTATACTCTAGTATAGGACTATCATCGTGAACAAATTCTAGGACGGAATGGAATGAAACATAGGAGTCTACTCTTTAGCTTGGATAAGGTGATTCACAAACACCCCAATCGCTCACTTCGCCATCGTTGAGAAAAGCAGTAAAACCATATGTGGTACCCTTACTCTACTGGATAGAAAATAATTGTCAAACACCCCTTTTGCTCTACGCTTTTTGATCCCCACAGATACCGTATAATGTCCAAATACCGTAGCAAGGAACTGCGAAATCGAAAGACGAAAGTACGATAGTCGGGCTGAGGGATATTTCGAGCGGAGAGCTTTCCATCGAGAACCATTCCCTAAACCAGTGGTAGCCACGGACTTGCTGGTATCATTAGTGAGCACTATGTAAGTTCATATTATTTAGTATCGGAAAAATTCCGTACGTATTAGCCTCAGTACCGTACAGCATCAAGAGTTCAGTCATAGTGGGCAAGCTCTCCAAAGTTGTAAAGTTTTGTGGAGAGTAACAGCCCCCCCCGAACGCCTACATAGTTTCCAAGTTAGCAAGTAGATCAAACATCTTTGGAATCATTAGAGTGAGGAAAACTTGCAATTGCTGGGTAAGAACTGACAAACCAATTCTAGCAGCACTACACATACGACAGGGGCAATAGAACCCAAGCGCCGGTTCACCCACTAACGCTAAACGGGGGAAAAGGCAATCTCGGGGCAGAAGACGGAGAGCCATACTCCCTAGACGCCAATACCGAGTACCGCAAACTCAGAGATTCGGATGTCACAGCAGTCGGGAGTGTGCATAGGCGAAGATAGCCAAAATGATCGCGGATTAGGTCCGCAGGTAAAAAGCCTCTTATGTCTTGACAGGGGCAGGTCGATAAAGCGTGCCGTACTCGAGTAGCTGTGCCCAGTTGTAACCCCAGATTGTTTGCATATACTACCCGTCCTCCGGACAGCCAGCTGCGGGGATACGATCGTATGGCGCTGGTAGCTGGCACTGTCCGGCAGCATGCCGGTAGCACAGTTCAAGTAGGCGTGGGGTTACGGGCCCCCGCCGCACCTCGCGATTTGATCCAACAAACTCTCTGAGAAATCCATCCCCCAACTTCCATAAAAACCATTCACGATAAAGAGCATCGCCTAAATCCCGAACAACCAACCAAAACCAAAACGCAAGGAACCGAAACCCACGGAAAACCTTTACTCGATTACAACACTGTCTGCGTGCGTGCGCAACCGGAGAATTGTTTGTTGAAAGGTGTGTCGATGATCATTGGTAGGAAGCAGAGAGGGGTGGTGAGTCTTTTTTCTTAGCCAGACGCACATAATCCGTCTAACAAATAAGGAGAAAGAAAGCTGATTTTGAGTCAGTTATCCTGCCTGCCTACATACTTACCCGCCCACCAAAGAAAACCCCCCCCATTCGGGGCCTCGTTTGCACTCTCCAGTACCATGATGTCAGGCTACCCATACAAAAGCCAGGATTCTAGGATTCCTAGGAACGTATGCCGCAGAAATTTGAATAATTAAACCGTGTGCAGTGCCGCTGGGTCCTCCCCTCAGAATCCGACAGCAAGGTCTGTGCCGGGAGAGGGGGAGTGGCTGTACATTCGCTGTGTTTTTCACCCTCACTAGGGAAGGGAACTTCGACTGTAGCACCCAAAGTTCAAGCATTCAAATTTCTACGCTAAGTGATCGGGGCTGCTCAGTCTATTTCCGGCTGGGTTCGTGCCAAAGTAAGGACTCGTTGATCTCGCGCTCACATGGACACGACATAACCGAGCATTGCACTGTATGTAGAGAAGGTAGGTGAGCTGGACTAGTTCTGTTCTCGAGAGATACGGTATGGTTTTCTTGCAAAGTTTGCTTCGGGTAAAAAAAAAAAGCGTTATGCGCATTCCCAATTCCGTCACTTCCAAGCTAGAAAGTGAGACGCTTAATAGCCTAGCAGGAACGGCTAGCAGACTGAGAGTCTAGACCCTGGAGCTCCAGTGAACTCACTTCCCTCCACCCCCATGGCCCCCTCCCGCTCCTGAATTAGTGACTGTGTTATGATACCGCAACTCTTTCCAATACACTGACAGCTATGCTTGTTACGGGAAATTTCAACAAATAAGCCGAATCGTCGTGGCTATCAATCTCTTTTCTCGATCTCCTCCGCAATGATCCGTCACATGAAACGGGTGACCTACTTAGCGAAAAATCAGGGAAGAGCAACAGGACAAACAGGTTTTTCCTCAGATTTGAGACATTGATATGGATCTGCAGCCGTTTCCGGATGGACAGGTAATGAATGGAATCGTAGGTGCAATAATCCTTACCGAGAACCAATCGCGGGGCTAGCTTTTGTACTCTGATAAATGGTTCCACTTCCCCCACCCCTCCCCCTACAGAGTCTCCCATTTTTGGGGTGTCCCGTTCGGAGGGTGGGAAAGGTAAGGGAGTCAGTTTCGGGTGGGATGTCCCTCTTGCAGTGCTAGCACTGCGATTCGGATGCACGCATATTGGAAGGATGTGACCAAGATTCCCAATAGGTTTTAGATCCGTTCCCGTAGTGGTCCTCGAGTGTAGTGCATTGGCCCACCCAATAGCTAGCACGGGCTTAGTCGCCGGTTTAACAAAGCGAGTGAGAGGCTGTGAATATCTTTATTGTAGGTGAATATCACAATTCGAGGGCGACTATCGCCATTCGCTACGATATCTTTTCCTTCTCACTTGTTGCATTTCCAGAATAAAAAGACACTCCTCCCCGCTCTTCTCCCTCTCCCTTTCCTCTCCTCACCACTCCAGCGCCTGGTTCTAGCAGCCCACAATACACACGCATAATCAACCCCTCCAACGCCCTTCACACTTTCAAAAACTTACATCTCTACTTCCCCCTACCCCATGACCCCGCTACCCACATCCCTATCCCAAGCAATGTCTACCCAATTCGACCCCTCGACTCTCCCCATGATGACCGTCCAAGTCGCATCATCCATTGCTGTCAGGAGACTACTCAATATCGATCCGAAAGCCCAAACCACATTCCCCTTTGATGGCTGGTCCTCCACCACGGTGCTCCTGCATGCACTGGAAGCTATCCGGGAAGAACTCCTTGCCGAGCACCACAACCTGAGCAGAGCGAAGCTCATATGCCACTACTGGGCAGATGATTTCCTTCGAGCCAGGGCTTATGGGTGGTGGCATTGGTTCCATTACGAAATCGCTTGGAACAGCACAGTGGCCAGTTGGGAGGCACAGCCCGCAGAACAAGATGTATCCCCAAACATCAGAGAGTATATTACCTCCCCCTCTATCGACTTTGGCAGGTTTTTTTGTCCCTGTCCTATCTCGCCTTGCTCACGTAACCTGTTTTGCAGTTGGAGTGACGCCGCGCAATGGGTACTATCAATGCTGTGTATAATCGCAAGTGACGAGGAAATGATGAGTCTAAACGGAGGCGCAAGCGGGCCCAAATCAGTGGCAATGGAATGCTTGAATGTGCTTGTGCGCGGCGAACCCAACTTACCGGAGTTCAAGTGGGATACTCGCATGCCCACTGGGAGTGCTCCAGCATGGATGAGCCAGGGGAAAACGCCGAACCCAAACGGCCCTGAGTACTTTAGTAAAATACTACCCCATCATTTCTTTCTTTCTTTCTTACTTTGGCTTCTCGAATTACCTCCCGGGATGACCACACTAACGGAGAAACCCCCAAAATAAACAGCCAGCAGAATGGTGCGGTGGCCGAACGGTAACTTGAATGTGTTCATGAGGGTGAGTGCTCAAATTACACATCGCCATGACCTGCGGATCACTAGCACACTTTTATAGCCCCTTGCTTGGACTCCAATGCCAGACCTCGGTCAGGTTGACATCTTCGATTCCGATCCACCTGATGCACCTACCGGTAGACACCCTGCCGATGACTATGACTCGGATTACGAGTCCGGGTCCGAAGTCATTGTTGCAGGTAAGTACCCCACCCACTCATGATTAATTATCAAACATTGATAAGTAGAAAACATAGGCGGCAGCAGTGAATTCAACGGTATACAAGAAACTCGGGAAGTGGAGGAGGTAGTAGAGCGGATGGAAGAGATGGAGGTTGGGGGGGAGGAAGAGGAGGAGGAGTTACCTCCGCACGGAATACAGCTTCAGCGAGAAGAGGAAGAGGAAGCTGTCAGAAATGCTATCGAGAGGCGCGAAGCCTTGATCAGGGACAGCATGGATCCTAGCCTTGCCTCCAACTTCGACTATGACTACGACTCCATTGACGAGGAAGGCGACTATACCCTCCATTAACCCCTCCCCCACAGCTACCAAGACATTCCCGAGAATTTCTGCGCTTTGTCTGCACTCTTGTTCGAGCACTTGGGCAGCACTACTTTTGTTTTCGTTTTTTCTCTGTTTTCCTATCCTTACATGCGCCCCTTCACCTTCCTCCACACTCCCAGTTGCCATCACCATCTCTTCCACCACCATTATCAGCATAACGATAGGGCAATCATCCGTCATCGTCATGGTTTTCTGGGGCAGGAGGTCTCTTTTCCTTTTTCCCTTATCACCAGTTTTCTCATCTTTCTTCCTTTCCTCCCCGTAAAAGGAAGGAAATGCTCTTTCTCAACTTCCCCCTAGCCCAGTTATGCATGTGACAAGGAATGCAATTGCCTCAGTGGAAACCTTAGCTATGACACCAGATATTTTGCGGCAGCGAATCAAGTGAGATAGCAATACGGTACAGCAGAGAAGGGGTGAATTTCTACACAGCTTAGTTAGCGTTGCTCCTTCGATCGCACCTACGAGTACAGAGGAAAGGAGAGCAGTAGTTGAAAGACGAATAAAAACGGCCCAAGAACTGCCATAGCTAAAAGCAAACAAATGGGACAAGGACCCCATATGCCCACCCACCCACCCATCGCGAGCTATGCAGCCACATACGCAACACCGGTACCGTGACTTGCAATAACAGCCATAAAAGGCTCTAGAGTGCAATCGCTCCCAACCAACAAACTCCCCAATCTCCCCCGTTCAATTCTAGCAATTGTAAGAAACACCTAAGTTACATACCCATCCCCACTCAACATGGTCCCCACGCCAATAGGGAGGATCTGTGGGGAGCCATGAACCTGAACTCGAACGTTGCTGTGCGCCGGGAAAGGACAAGTGTGTTCATGACGAAAAGGAGGTTCTATCTTCCGCACTTGAGCTATGGTGAATGTCTTGTGGCCAGCAATAGCCAATCAACTGCTTTGTTTACGCTTTCAAGTTCAAGTTCACGTTCACGCCCGTCTGCATTACCTCCCCAAAGCTCCCCGCTCGGTTCTCGAAGCACCCCCCCCAGCGTTCGCCAGAACCATATTTCACGGGAAAATACTGCAGAGAAGGTGTTGGAAGCCTCGAATAGAGAGGCGCACCTAACCACCAGACTAACCCTCAGGCCAACGCCCAGTAAAGGTAAAACTTCCAAAAGGAGCCAAAAATAAAATAAAAATAGATCGATAGATAGATGGTAATGTTGTGAGCTCCTTTTTTTACATTTTTTACATCTTTCTTCATCCCCCATGCAATCCGCTTTCATCACATAAAATCACTCGATCATAATGGGAGGGGGGGGGGGGTTTAAAAAAAGTGAATATTATCACGATAATGATGCTTATATAAAAGTTCGCTCTGCAGAATACAGCCCATCAAATACGATACATCCCGGAAAAATCTGCGCATGAGGGGGGGTTTCTAAGATCTTGCGGGGCACTTTGTACGTACAGCACTGAAATACCAGATAACACAATATATTTGGGTATCCTACACCATATCGTGTCGGGTTCTTCAGGGGTCAGCCACACAGCGCTCACACCCACACTTACCTCCATGAGCCCGGGCTAGGTTAGGACCAATATTATACAACCCCACACGGTAGTAGTTTGGAAGGCAAGGCAGCAGCCGTCCTACCGTCAGGCTCTAAATCATGCCCCATCTTTCCAAGTCTACCTCCTAGGGCAGGACCAAGGAACGGACATGAACCTCAAGGACCAACGGCCCGGCCTGGAAACGGAAATTGGGTATTTCGTTATGATCTGATCTACATATCGACGAGGCCCGAAGGCCGAAATCGCATTGATCTAGCCAATAGTAGCCGACTTAACTTTCTCGACAACACCCCCGATGCCCCCATCCCTAGGCCGGCCGTGGCCCCAAGTGAGTGGCCTTGGCCTCATAAATTCTGCACAGATCTCATCCGTAACGGCCTTCTTTCTCTCCTGGAAGCCTGCAATAAAGCCCTGTAGCTCCTTGATGCACCTAGCCTTAAGCTCTCCAGTGAGGAGAGTGCCCTTGATATAAGACTGACGTATGTTTTCCAGTTCCTCGTCGTCCTCAAGGAAGAAAGTCAAGTACTGAAACGAGACATCGACATCCGGGTTACCCCCATACAGGCGTTGTTCCTCAGTAGTGGTCTGACCCCCGGAGAAGGCATACTTGTTGATCTTCTTTTTTCTATAATCAGAGATCAGCACTCAATTTCATGGCACTCAAACGAATCAAAACAAACATTGCATTTGGAGTGTCATTCATGAAGATCGCGCTGGTGTCGATACTAGCACTCATCTTACTACCAGAACCCTCAAGGGCCGGGAAGAATTTTGCATGAATTAGGGCTGGCTTTTGGTATTTCAATCTCGCAGCGACGTCTCTAGTCAGGCGGAAGTACGGATCTTGATCGATGGCACAAGGGATCAAGGACGGGATCTCTCTCACTTTGATCGGATCGTCACCAAATATATGGGGGAAGGTAGTCGAAAACGCTGTGCTGGCTTGCACGGCGGTGAAGTGCAGCTTGCCGATATTATCACTTTCCTCGCGTAAGAACAAACTATCCGTGAGGGAGCAAGTGACCTACCTATCGGTGAAACCAAACGCTGCTTTACTCTGGTTCGTGGTTATACAACGGGCTACTTTCAAAATATTCTCATAGAAGGCTCCTCCCATATAATCAAGGTCAGAGAATATGAATGTCTTGTTCACATCAAAGCCCATAGCGATGATATCCTTCGCATTTTCCCGGGCGAAGGTTTTGACGTTCTCGATGGTGAGGTTTTGCTTAAAAAGAAATTTCTCATCATCCGTCAACATGATGCACAGGGGAACGTCAAAAGCTTCCTGAAGCCACCTACTTCAAATTAGCAAGTGAGCATCAAGGAAAAGGTAATGGTTCATAGTTACTTGGTAAACATAAAGGGAACCATGTGCCCAAGATGCATACTCTCACTGCTAGGGCCCCTCCCAGTATAGATGTAGAATTGTTTCCCTTGCTCATAAAGGTTGAGGATTCTCTCTAAATCTCTATGGGAAAAGAACATTCCTCTTCGCAGAAATTGATGGGGCCTATGCCCAGTAAGCTTCTCAAAGCGAGCGAGAAGCTCAGGGGAAATCCGTCTGGTACCAAAGTCCCTGATGAGCTTCTCGTAATCGATAGCGACAACTTTGCCGTCAACCAAGGCCCCTTCAACTGTGAATGGATTGATGTTTTGCTCTTGATTTACAGGAGCAAGCACCTCTCGAGTCTGAAGCAGTGCGGGGGGTTGTTCATCCTTTTCAGCCATCGTGGAAGGTATCCCAGGGAGTTAAACGATACGGTTTGTTGATTGAGAAGAAAGACTCAGTGAATGAAGAGAAAGAGAAGGAGATGTGTGTCTGGTGGGGGCGGGGTGAGGGAGGTGGTTAGAGGAAATGAGATGCGCGTTTAAAGTCTGGTGTGTGGCAGCCGGTTCCGCGCCCCATCAGTGACATAGTCTAAACCTGGGCTGTGGCCCAGACAACCCTGTCCTACCGAATTAATTCCATCGCTCCCAAATCTCAGTGTAAGAATACCGGTATGTAAGGAGCGTGTCCTCCTCACTAACGAATGACAATCCTAACCTTTGACCTCTCATCTCGAATCACACCTCGAACCATCGCCAGAAGAAAAAGCAAGAGGAATAATAACACATACTAGCACCGAATAGCCCCCTCCTACGCCGCTCCCAAACAAGTGGACCCCTTGCGGGCCTCGACCAACTTCAGAAAAATGCAACAATCTGGCTTTCGCTCCGCCCCAGTCTCGCAGGCTCTCCTCTACTTCATAGTCGCCTCATCTCTCCTAGCCTCAATACTCGACATCAAACATTATTTCCATATACAAATAATTCCTCATCTGTGGGTTCACCGACAAGTTTGGCGAATTTTCATCTGGCAGGTCAGTACCAATACACACCCCTCCCAATATCGCAGTTAGGATTATAACACCCATGACTTTCCACCAGACATGCTACGCAAACGCAGGCGAGCTGCTCTTTGGCGCTTTGGTGATCTATCATCTTAGGGCTATAGAGCGCCTATTTGGAACCCGAAAATACGCTTCTTTCCTCACTTACTGCTTCGTCGCCACAAATATTGCAGCACCGCTCTTGTTAGCTGCCGTATTTCGCCCACTCACATTCGGCCAAATGAACTACCTACCACCCGGTCCAACTCCAATTCTCTTTGCTGCCTTGGCCCAATATCACGCCGTGATTCCCGGGGTTTACAAATTTCGCCTGCTCACATCTACCAACTCTGACGGAGAGGAGGGGCCAGGAATTACTCTATCCGATAAATTCTATGTCTACCTACTGTCGACTCAACTCGCCTTGTGCCAGCCTCCGGGATCTTTACTGTCGGTAGCTGTTGGGTGGATCGTGGGATATGCCTGGAGGATGGATCTACTGCCTAGGTCGAAATGGAGAATTCCCAAATGGCTATTCAAAGATAGCCAAGGTGCGGAGTTCGAGAATCTTAGGAGAAGATTGAGGGAAGGAGAGGGCGTGGCTGATGCTAATCAAGGCACCGGGCAGAGACCTCTTGTGCGGCAAATTTTGGATCAATTCAGAGGTGCTTTCTAAATGCTCCATAAGAGATTCTCCAGAAATGTGCGGTACCTGTCCTGCTGTATTATACCGGGGTTGGCGCAGAACCGGACCCATTAGAGTTCATTCATAGGAGTCTCATGCAGGTTTTCTCCCTTTTTTTTCTCGTGTACGCAAACTCATCGGACGCGAATACCACTCATAGTCTAGTCATACCCGAGTACATAAGTGTCAGTGTCAATGGTTAAATAGACTCTTTTTCCAAATGTACTACGAGTATGCTATAAGAAATACCTCGAGGGATCTCAAGGTGACAAACGTAAGGATTGCAAGTGACGCCATAGAGACCGGTTTTCGGCCAATCAAGACATTCCCATTTTGTTATGTCAGCATCCGTATTCCCTCGGCTCTATGGAGTCCACTGGATTCTTCCCAGGGCTCAATCACGAGCACATTTGCCGACAACCTCATTTTACCTCAATCACGGCCTCCCTGCCGCTCACGGAAAATTAGAGCCTCACCAGGTGCTCTTTCTCTCTTTCTCGACCACACGCCACTCCCTCATCTTATCATCAACACCCCCACTAACCCCTACCATGAATACCACATTCCTCTCTCGCCCGTTGCTCCGCGCAACTTTAATATCCGCCAGGCCCACCACTGGCCTCCGCACATTAGCATCTGTCGCAACCCCCCAGACCGCCCCTACCGAGCCTGGTTCCAAGAAGCCGAATACCAAGCAATTCCAGATCTATCGATGGAACCCAGACACCCCCGAGAAGAAGCCTTACATGCAGACCTACGAATTGGATATGAACCAGACTGGGCCCATGGTGCTGGACGCTTTAATCAGACTCAAGAATGAGGTTGACCCTACGCTCACCTTTAGACGCTCTTGTCGTGAGGGAATTTGCGGGAGTTGTGCCATGAATATTCAAGGGAGCAATACTTTGGCTTGCTTGTGTAGGCTTCTTGAGTTTTTGATTCCATCCCTTTCTGAATGAGGTTAAGGAAGATTGCTAATGTGTCTGTGAATAGGCCGTATCAATGTCTCCGACTCTGCCCCCGTCAAGATTTACCCGCTTCCGCACACCTACGTCGTGAAAGATTTGGTTCCAGATCTTACACAATTCTACAAGCAGTACAAGTCTATCAAGCCATATCTCCAGCGCAAGACTCCCTCCCCTGACGGAAGGGAGTACCGCCAGTCCGTAGAGGAGAGGAAAAAGCTTGATGGATTGTACGAGTGTATTCTTTGCGCTTGTTGCTCGACTTCTTGCCCATCTTACTGGTTTGTTTTATCCTCACCCGTACGTGCAGTTTTCATGGGATAACAGTGGCTGACTGGCATTTCCTAGGTGGAATTCATCCGACTACCTTGGCCCGGCTGTCCTTCTTCAGTCGTATAGGTGGTTGGCAGACTCTAGAGACGAGGCTAAGGGTGCTAGAAAGAGCGCTCTTGAGAACGAGATGAGTCTTTACAGATGTCATACCATCATGAACTGTACACGGACCTGCCCGAAAGGCTTGAATCCTGGCCAGGCCATTGCAAACGTAAACTCTCACGAAAGCTATCTCTGTACACAAAATCAGCTGTCGCTAATCCCCAGCATAGATAAAAAAGGAGATGGCATTCGGCTCATAGTGGCGGATCTTTTTTTAAAAATAAAGGAGAAACTCCCAATTCCCTTCGAGGCGCAACAGTTTTGTCAATTGTTTTCGATAAACAAGGTTTTGGTGTAGAATAGTTGCGTCTAGTTCGCACCCTATCCCATTGACAATATTGGCGGGGTAGTTTTAAACCTTTTCCCTTTTGGCTACGCTTTTCCTTTTCACCTTGAATTGCTTTCAGTGGACTCTATACTAATTTCTTGGAGAAGCCTGGGGAGAAGGAAAAAGAAGAAAAAGAAGAAAACAATTGAGGAATACCAATACCAGTGGCGTAATTTCTCTTGTTTTATGTAGAAAAAGGGGAAACCCCGGTATTCCATAGTGATCAAGCCGCCCTACCCAAACTACCCCCAATCTAAAAAGTCCGAGAAACGAAAACGGGTAATTATGATATTTACTTTCTGGTGGAAAAGATTCCTATAGAAGGGGTAAAATATTAGTCTCGCTCTCAACCTGTGACGGGAACCCTGAAGAAATTCCAGGAGACGGAGAAAAAAGGGGTGGAGGGGCAATATCATACTCTCAACATCCTGAACACTCTGTTGCAAAATCTGGGCCAGGGTCTTTGGCTCCCCCAGATCCTTCTTAACCTTTGCGATCAAACTTTCGGCCAACTCTTTCTGCTGCCTCTGCTTAACCTGCGCCTCGTACCTGACCCAACTATCAAGAACACTCTTAGCCTCGGCGGCGAATGCAGTCTTCTGCTCGAGCTCGAAAGCCGTAGCCTCGAGCCTCGCTGTCTCCTTCGAGACCTCGAAAAGCCCCCGTGTAACTTCCACGACACTACTCATCTGCTGCACGCTCTCGATACGGTCCCGGACGGCACGTGTATGGTCCTCGCGAGCACTATTGAGGATGTCGCGAATCTTGTTGACCTGTGCGGTTGCCCAAGCAGTGTACATTGGCCCACCCATACGGGCGATGCCGTAAAACGTCGCGAGGAGGCTAAGGGCTACCAGTGTTTCCTCATTCAGGACGTAGAGTTCACTGGAGATGGCAGCCACTGAGAGGCCGGCGATGGAAGAGAGAATTGCGGTTTTGGAGACGAGCGTAGATCCCGGGAGAGCATCGAGGATGGATTGGGCCTTGGTCTTGGGGTCCACTGGCGCTGGGGTTCCGGTTGATTGGCAACGGGTCGTGGCGACGTTGATTGCCGGAACAAGCTTTGGTAGGAGGGCGGCTGTGGGGCGGAGGCGGGTTGCTCCTACAGATGTTTCGACCCCGCTATTAGTTTCATCGGAACATTGCAGAGTTGATGGTGGTTATTGGAGCGCAGGGGATGGATAAGCTTACCCGCGAGGCCTTTGGTTAGTCGCATGGACATCTTGACTGAGTGGAGTTGATGGGGTGGAGATTTTCGGATCAATTTGATAGAGAGTGAGTTGTGGAGGGCTATTGGTGACGATGTTTTCTGCTCGGGGCCAGGAACTCACTCGTCGAACCAGGGTCCAGGGTTTAGGGTTGGGGGCTGGTGTCAGGAGCACATGCAACCCTCGAACTTCCCACATCTGTCCTACAGAGCTGAGAGCCCAATATTGCGATAAGTAATACATACAAGACCCGAATGCTATAGCCATTTAACCCATTGCAAGCTATCACTCCCATTAGCAATCTATAATACATTATTCTACATAGAGCCGGCCTACCCAAATCTAACAAACAAAGAGTAACCACTATAACAGGAAGAGAGAAAGTGCTAAAAAGAAAAAACATGAAAAGACTCGGGAAGCATGGAGAGACAGTAGAAATTACATCATGTCAATCATCCCAGCTACAACCTCAGGTATCTTCGCGAGTATAATATCACTTCGCCGCCAATAGTGGCCGCCCAGAGAATCGTACCACTCTAAACATCCTCAAAGTCAGCCTCCTCTTCGGAGTCCTCTTCTCCGCCTTCTTCTTTGTCCTCAACCTCAGTAAGCTTCAGTTTTTTAGCAGCGGGGGCCGTGGAGTCGTCATCCGAGTCATCGTCCTTGGCCTTGGCTGGATTCGGAGCGGCAAGAGAAGTGACAGCGTTACCATTAACGACGTCTTCAAAGTTTCCTTCGTCGTCTTCCTCCTCTTCCCCATCCTCGTCCTCATCCTCCTCTTCGTCTTCTTCCCCCTCCTCTCTGTGCCCCTCACCCTCAATCCCCTGCCCCCCCTCCTCCCCGTCTTCTTCCTCTTCGTCGTCATCTTCTTCCTCTTGCTCCTCCTGAGCTTCCTTGGCCTTCTGGGCCGCCAATGCGGCATAGTATTCGGCGATAGCTAGCGCACCGTTGGTTTAGTAAACATGTTAGAGTAGGCAGCGTATCACCTTACCATCTGCCTGGATACCATTTGCCCCGTCGCTGGCGGCAGCCTTCTTGTCTTCCTCCTCTTTGGACTTTTGCGCAATTCCAATACCATCGAGGGCACGAGCTTCCCTCTCCGCAGCCTCCTTGGCCCCAGCGGTAGTCGCAGCGCCGGGGTCGACGGTGGACTTTGTGTGCCAAACTGGAAGTGCATTCTTGTCGGCCTGAGCTTGCTTCATCGCCTGCTCTGAGGCAAGCTCAGCAGCTGTCTTCTCCGAGGTGGAAGTGAAAGAAACTTCAATGGAAGCAGGAGCACCGGAGCTTCGGGCGCTTGTAGCGCCTTTCCCAGCGACAGGGACTGAGTAGAGGTGATTCTTATCTCGAGGCACAGGAACAGAATTCGCAATAGCAGTCTCGAAATCATTACTGCGAGCGTTAGCCTTATACAGCCCGTGGATACCAAAAGAAGCACCCACACCGGCACAACGATCTCATCAATCATCTTTAGCATATCAATAATCTTCTTCATCTGCTCCATTAGTCTCCCCAACCGTTCCTGACTTGTTTTGACCTCGGCGCTATCGTCGTCATCCACAAGTGTAGTATTACACCGATCGCAAACAAACAGCCCCATCTCATCACGAGCCACCGACATCGCATCCAGGATCGAGAACCTCTTCTGGCAGTACGGGCATACATATCCTTTTGTATCAGCGTCCTTATTCATCTTCTTTTCCACGTCCTTGACAACACCGTGCATGCGATACTTGACGGCGTCGATCGTGCTCCTGAACTCAACATAGTAGTAAGTCCTGTTTGTCGGTCGCTGTTGCCCTTCCTTCTGCTCCGGCCGGTTATGCCTACATCCACTGAGTCAGCCGGGAACCTACGCTGCACACTTGCCACAAGGACCTCGGAGACCCACACAGCGAGCATACGATCCTCCTTTAACCTCCCACATAGTTTCTGTAAGTCCTTGGATTGAAAGCCCAACAGTTTCCCCAGTTCGTCATCGCGAACACTGCATCGTCAGCAGCAAAAACATTGGTAGAGTAATAAAAAGCTTTCTCCGGGGCAACAGTGGAAACCCAAGGGACATACGCGTTATGGATCATGAGCGCATCGATGACAAGGATATGCTTTGTATCGTAAAAGGCACGAGCCACACATTTTACGAGGGACTTTGCGATTTCCATCCTGCGTATCGTGGGACTGGGGTGGTGGTGGTGATTGCCAGTGCTGTCGCTAGATACGATAGATTGCGGGTCTATGACAAAGGGCCAGCTTGTGTCTTGGTGGGCGAAGATAGCTCAGGTTAGACTAGGACTTGGCGCGGCTCTGCCTGCTGGGATTTCCAACCCTAACCTAAGCTTAACTCGCGCCGGGTCACCCTCTTTACGGCATATCATACTAATTTATTGGTGTCATAATATTGTCACACCTTATGATACAAGCACAGCAGCGTGATGCAGTGCACTTGGAGCGAAGGTTAGTGGTCAGTGGAGCATCCGGGCCGCTAAGGGGGAACACTGCGTCGGGCTCCTAAAGCCATACTAAATTTAAATTTATATCAGGTGGGAGGGGGCTTCAGAGATTTTGTATTTACGAGTACATTTGTGATACTTGTATATGCATGCATTACCCCTTCCTCTTACCGTCGGATGGAATCATAAACGTAGTCTATCGCGGAGACGGATGGATAGTGCTGAGACTACGGGGGGAAAGCTGGCGTCTAAATTACCGCACTACGTCGAGAAGCTCTCTCCGCAAGGGAAACTATTGACACACGCCGGTACTTTAAATAATTAAAGCAAACAAGGCGATTTGACTCCAACAGATAGCCTTGTGGTTCTGCTCAGAGGCTCCCTATGCAACTAGCCTAACACATACCGTGCCGGCATCACACTGATCCTAAGACTACCGGTAATAGAAATAGCGGCTTTAGGGAAGACTGATACCATAGACTGCATCCCAAACCTTAATTCAACACAAAGACTAATTAAGCACCGAAAACTCCATATCGAATTTTCAATGCCGTAACAATAGCCACCCGCCCAGTAACAATACCGCAACACCATCTGAAATCGCTGCCACAATGAAAAAAAGCTATGATCCATTATATACCAGCGTGTCTTCAGCACCGTGAGGAGAGAAATCCAATCGTTTTGCTAAAAAAAAAAAAACATTCTCCCTCATAATTCGTAGAGAAGGAAAATGTGAGAGATGAGAAATGACCAGTTCAAGCTAACATAAGCCAATTATCAATACACCCTCCTTCGAATCACCAAGTCCCTCAATCACGGCGCTCACAGAAACACTCACGTACTCCTCATGCTTTGCAGAAAAGATATAGGGGAATAAGGAAGCCTAGAAAGCGGGTAAGGAATATGAACCAGGCATACGGAAGACTAAAGCTAAGGAGATAGAGGAAACAGAGAAAATAGAGAAGACTGCACAAAAGAACTCCGAGATTGTGTTTTGAAAACTGCACTAAAAAAAGCTTTTGCGATAAACTACATGGGGAAGAAATTGAATACCAAGGGAAGAAAGAGAGGAGAAAAAAAAGGGGGGGAGGAAGGGAGACGGTTGAAAAAAAGACTATGGTTCCCGTAAAGCTTTTCCATCGCCGAAAATCCTCTCACCCACCCCCGAGACCTAAGCGCAAACCATGAAAGAATTCAAGTAGAAAAATTAGCAAATTGAGCACCCATAGTCAGGATCCACCAATGGTTTTTCGTAGTACAGTAATAATATTGGTAGCATTTTGTTTTTCCAGATCACACCGATCGCTACTCATTGGGGCGAGGCCTCTTTGCTGGATGTGGGTTCTCCCATTGGCCTTGGTTGCCCCCTTGTGGACCGCCAGGAAAGAATGCCGGGTTAAAGTGAGGAGCTGGAAATCCCCCAGGGCCTGCTTGATTGGGGTAGGTCGTAAGTGAACGCGCAGACGGTTGGAATCCTTGACCATACATACCCATACCCATGGGGTTGAAGCCTCCCATTCCGATAGGATTAAAGCCACCATCCATATTACCGGCGCCCATGTTTCCACCCATATTACCGCCCATGCCGCCCATATTACCACCCATTCCCATCCCACCACCCATGTTTCCGCCCATGCCACCCATGCCACCGCCCATCATACCGTTGTGCCCCATGCCGCCTCTACCTCTCATACCTGCTGGCCCACCCCTCATAGGATTCATACCACCTCTACCGGCGGGGAAATTACCCGCTTGGAAGTTTCCTCCACCAAATTGTTGCATTGGCATACCTTGCCCACCGAAGTTGTTCATCGGAGCCTGGAAACCAGGTTGGGGGGATTGCGGGCCACCAACTGGGCCTCCGAAGCCACCACGATTACCGACAAACCCGCTCCCCATATTGCCGCGGTTTGGCCCCCCGAACCCACCACGATTACCCCTAAAACCTCCACCAGAGTTCATACCTCCTGCCATGCCGATTGCGGAAGGTTGAACAGCTGGTGGTCCGGAGTGACCGCCACGCTCCCCGCTGCTAGCACCATTGCCTCTTCCACCTTGAAATCCATCACGAGGCCTATCACGCTGAGGAGCATCTTTGGGAAGGGTGCGGAATGGATTGACGCTAGGATTGGTATAAGAGACCGTATGTCGTTTACCCATGTAAGCTGGCTGACTTCCTCCAACCTCAATTTTGTTTTTAACAGCCGTTGCGGCCTGGGGAGAAGTAAACTCAACAAAAGCAACCCTATATCGACAAGAACGTTTAACCAAGCTTTCAGGTGGTTGGATAGCGAGGAGAAGCTTACCCCTTGGATTTACCATTGACCTTGTGCTCGCTGAAGGTAATATCTTTCAATTCGTCCTCGCAACCGCATTCGTTTACCCACCCACGGATATCATCGTCAGTAGTCCACCAGTGCAAATCGGCGACATAAAGAGCCGTAGTAGCGGCAGGGTCAAAAGGCCGATCATCAAGCTTTCTCTTCTGTTTCGTCTGGACCGCTGCCTCTTCTTTTACGATCGCGGAGTTGCCAGAGTTATCACCATCACCTGCAGCAGAGCCCATATTGGTGTCTTCACCTGCAGCAGTATTCTGCTTATTATCGCCATTAGTGTCTCCCTGGTTTTGGTCAAGAAACAAGTCCTCATCCTCCTTCTTGAAAGTAGTCGCTGGTTCGTCAGGGTTTAGATCGCCGTAGATATCGATATCGAAATCGTCGGCCATCCTGAATTCGAGATTTTCACGAGATTGATGCAACTGCTTCTTTTCTTAAGGTGACTTGCTTTGCTTCTCACTAACAATTCTCTTCACCTGTAAGGCAACAAGATACAAGGTCTGTGCAAGCCATACCGTGGATCAGCTTCCAAGAAAAAAAATAAAAAAACGTAACAGGAAAAAGAGACGCGTTTGGAGCAAACAATCAAGTCCGAGCAAAGCAGGGTGAGAAAGAGGGGAGGAGATGAGAATGAAATAAAGGAAGGAAGAAGAAAAGAGTACGAGAAATTCCAGAGAGCAAGGAAATGGAGCATTCAACACCTCGACTGGTTTTCTTAGCTAGCGTATGTGCTCACGGGCAAGACTCGATACAGAACAAAAAGGGTGGTGATACGTACACTGTGGGAAGTGTGAATACTAAGCTTCTCTTTCCCTCTGGTAGCACAGGACAACTTTGCTCGCTTGTTTCTTCTTCTTACACCAAGAAATAAAAGCTTCCCACCCGAGACCCTTAAAGTTTCCAGCAAAAAAACGATATTTTCTTCCTCACAGACGAGGGAGGTACAGGACAGGTCAGGTGCGTTGATCCACCAGCAGACAAAGGAAACAGAGTCTCTTTCAGTTTGAACAGAACAGAGAATAAACTGCCAGGAGAAACTAGAATAGGTCCGGGTGAAAATCCGTCGAGTCTTATTTGGAATAAGATGGATCGGGAGGATAATAGTAGAGAGATCTATCGAGGGTGATTAAAGGTCGGGCGGAGGATGAAGGATATGAAGTGGATGATGAAAAGAGGAAGAGAGGAACAAAGGAGGGAAAAGGGAAAAAAGGAAGAAAGGAGCGGAAGCGAGAGGGAACAGACGCAGAGAAGGAAGCTAGATAGAAAGAGGATGAAGACGAGGCTACCTGAGTTGAGTCGAATATGAGGGACGCGGGAGAAGCAGCGACGACGGCGAGGACGACGACGACGACGACGGCGATAGATGGAGAGACGCAACAGCTAAGTTACTGTTGAGTTGGATGAGAAAGGGAGAGAAGAAACGGAAAGGGAGGACGAGGATTTGGTTCTGGTTGCTGACTAGTTGGATGGGATTGGTGGGAAACCCTTTCGTCTTGACAAACACACGCTAGAAGGATTGCCGTTCTTGTGGCAGGCTTTATTGTGATCCGCGCGCTCCTGGAAGCCTTTTTTTAGGTTGGTTACATAAGCAAGCACACAGTAAGGCAGGGCGAGCCCCGGTCCAGTAGTCCAGATGTTTTGAACGTAAATCCTATCGGCCCATTTACGGTATGATACTCTATGGAATGATACAAGAAACATTTTACTGAATTCTATAAGACCTACTGGCAAAGACAAACTGCATACCGTATTATGGAAGAATAAAAACAAAAAAGTGTGTAACCGGAAATCCCTGCATTCCCTAGGTGTCAGTCGCCGTAAATCTCTCATCAGAAGAAAAACCCCGCCCTCTGGCCGACACCCGGGAGACATGGCCTTGCACTTCACCTTCACCTTGTGAATAATAACACTGAGATGAAGAAAGAAATAAGGAAAATAAACCAGGAAGGAAACAGCCAAATATTCCGAACCACGCAAATCTATACTCGAGCACTTGTAGCACTCTGCACTGTACCTTCGCGCCCCTCCTTCGGCTCTTGAGTTTCATGAAATTGAGGTCCGAGTACGTTGCTGTATCAAACGGCAAGCCTAGAACAGCGCCTGCGCCGACGAGAAATAAAACTGACACCATAACCCAAGGCAGACGGGTTTTAACGTTCTAACGGCAAATTTAGGTTGAGGGCGAAATAATCATGACTGAAGAAGGTGAAAACTACTTGGAAAAATGGATGCCCCCGCAGAGCCTCAGAAAATGACATTCTCGCCCATTACCTGTATACCGAGTGATAAATGATGGCTAATTGGTACCTCCGAGAAAAAAAAAATGCTGATAGGAAACACTAGATAAAGCCCAACAATGAAGGACAGATTGAGTGACCATCTGCAGTATCCCGGACTCAATCACAGCCAGCCTCCCTCTGGGCTTAATCATCATTCCGTACTGCTGTGCTGTCTGCTCAGTTACCCATCTCCCTTATGCCTGGCCCAACAACGTACCTAGCCGGGAACAATGAGGCGGGTAGCTACCGAAGGTACTGGTAAACTGGCCTCCATTCAAACGAGGGAGGTAACGCTATTTTGACCTATCACATTACCCTTTAAATTCATAACCGCACTTTCCACCATCTTGGCCCCGTTGGTCATGGGCCGCAAACGAAACTACAAGAGCTTTCTTGAATGGATGGGAAATATACTGAGAGATGGGAGCTATATATATATAAGTTTATGAAACGCTACGCCTTGCTCTCTCGCAATTGCGGGAGAGAACGGTGTGGTATGGGGAGCACTCGAGCGAGCTCCTGTGATCAAAAATGACAGATCCTATTGGGGTGTTGAAAGTCGTGAAGTGAATTGGGGGTAAATGTTTTTTTGTCAGTAGATTTAATGCTCAAGGTAAAATCACATATCTTACTATGAGAAAACCTAGTCCGTGTTTCTTATGTGGCTAGTGGTCAAAAGATATTGGAGCCGACCCACGCCCATATATGACCAAATATATCACAAGTCACGGGGCTTTAGGGATCCTTCTCCCTTGGGCTTCTGCGAGACTGTGATCTGCTATTTATAGTATTTTCTAGCTTTCTTAGTTGAATGAGCGATCTTCCTCTTTATCGAGATAGCAGTTGTTAGGAGATGATGTTCTATCCTCGAATTCCTCTACCAATACTCCATTGCAGTATTATTCTGTGTCTTAGGGGAGATGTGACGATTCATCATAGGCTTGTGAATGAAGCCACAGAAAGTAACATGAAAATCTCACCTCAAGCATGGAATTTCAGAAGAACACTAGCGAGCCAAGTACCGGTAAATCGCAATTGAATTCAGTGTTATGTGTACGGTACATCTAACAAAAGAGGCGGAGGGGGAATTCAAGTGTCACGGTGCTTGCGCCTGTGGCGAAGCCTGCCACTACAAATGAAGGTGGAAGGGACAAAGAAGAGAATGAGAAATAAAAAATATAAATAGGAATGTAAGCGAGTTCTATCGCCCGGAATGTAGGACATTCCCCCGTTAGTGGGCCATCACACCGGTCTTTGGACTCACATCTAGTGGTTGAGAATGGGGATCAATCATTCCCAAACAATATGCCAGTGGGGGCTAAAGGAAAAAAACAAAACCTACCGCCGGACCGCACCATCCACCTGAGGTAAAGTTAATCAAGGGAGAAAAAAGAAAAAAAATTAGTATTAATGCACTTAATAACTGGCGGTACGTGAGCTGTTTCCACCTCGCTCCTCCCGGCCCCGCAATTGCTCAGTAACTGCCCCGCTTGAAATAATGACAGTTCCATTTGCAATTCACTGGAGCGCAGTATATCTCATTCAACCCAAGAGGCCTAGAGGCGGTGAAGAAGGTTCGGCTAGGATCATCGAACTATGGGATACCGGTAAAAGATGGGGAAGAAGACATGCCGAACACGACTGGAACGATCACATTCCGTTCGGTCCCAGGGCTGGGACCCTAATGACGTGCCCAACACAACGCTGGCTGTGCTCGAGTACAGTATCACACATAAATTTATCGATATCATAGCTGGTATCGTAATTCTCTTTGGAGACAATCGGATTACCTAAGCATCCTCCTCTAGAACCTTTGTTTATCATACGAAAAAACGTATTTGCAGGTATGATACCATACTCTTTCTCTTACTGTGTTCAAGGGGAAAATCCTTAAAATATGATACTATGCCTAATAATTGCACCCTCGTAGTGCACGAGCACTGAGAACCTGGAACGTCTCTCCTGCTGACTGGGTTTGGAGCACGAGTGTATGTTAGGGCATCGTGATACCGTGGAGCCGGAAATCAATCAGGGTGTATCTAGCAAACCCAATTGAACAATGCCGTACCTACTTGTACCGTATCCAAAATACCCATGCGATGCTCATGGGGACCGTATGGGTTAGTTAAATCTGTATACTAGCAACATACTGTACAAGTACTCGAGTACAATACAGTATTCATCTATCTAATAGAGGTTGTCACTCCTGTAATTTCCCCCCACCCAAAATTCACCCGAGCGCAATTTCCCAAAGCCCACTTTCCTCCATTTAGCTACAAACGTTAATTATCCTAGTCAGAATCAATCTCAACCCCTCTATCGCCCCGAGAGAGAACTTCCGGAAAGTTGGAGATTACCGGTGCGATCGTCCTTGTACGGTACTGTGCCGGTATAACATTGGCAGCCGTTGGGGGGGAGGGAAGCATAAACACTGCCAAATGCTATTGAACATTACTTCCATTGAAGCAAAGCCACGCGCAAGTTTATGTGAAGGGTGCTAAAGTAATCGCCTGCTTATCTTGTGACTAGTTCAACACTCCCTCAATGATTACTGCCCGCTTTGCCGACACTCCAATAAGTTGAGGTGCTTATTACCGTACTATTACGAATATGATAGGCTTCTCAATCCATCATGGGAGACTCCTCCGGTATGCTGTTGAAGGGAGCACTCTTTTTCCTAGTGATTGCCCTGGTACAATGGGGTCTATAAATGCGAGATAGAGACCTATTGGCCGCATCACAGTGGTTGTCAAACCGATCAATGGAAACGCACCGGCAGGTCATATAGACCGCAGTCTCTATCTTCGTGTCTACCGGTAGGGAAGCTAAGTGCACGGGCATTTAATTTAAGTTTATTCTATGATCCTCCCTCTATGTGGTGACTGTGTAGAGGTAAGTTGTGTAGCTCATCGGTGGAGAAATGAAATATTTCATCGATACTTGCGCCACCATAGACTGCACTGTCAGGCGCGTGAATCGACTGGTGTCGAGGTACGCGGGTGTTCATAATCATATGGTGCTGTTTATATGCTATGAATTGATCAAGATGCAGAGTGAGCACGAGCCTAGGCTTTCATGTTTCATTTTTCTTGAACCACCTTTTCTATTCTGCTGCTTCTCGAGATCGAATTGAGCAAGAGATTTTTCTACCTGAGATACCCCTGAGTATTTCTCTTTGTTGTGGCTATTTGATATGGTCTGAATATTGGATACTAGTTCTGACTAGGGGAGTCCCGTATCCCAAAAACCTACTAAAGAAGGCGGGACCAGAGAAGGGATAAACACTACTTATCCATGAGAGCTAAACTACCGTATAGTGAGTAGTTCTGCCCTGGTCATTAAATGCCTTTTGGTTGGGGGGCGCCGGCTCACTGGGAAAAGAATCTGATAATTCACATGTTTGTGGCTTCCTCCTTCCGAGAGGCGAACGGTTGTGAATTGCCTGTAGCCCTGCTACTCTTCTGACTTACGGTGCTCGAGTGCGTTTGCCGAAGCTCTCTGTTTGCCTAGCTTAGCAGGGTAAATGGCTACTTCTCTGCTTTTACCTTCAAACCTACAAATAATTTACCGGTATATTGTACTTGCACAAGATACTAGGGCCGCAGTACATATGAACAAAGATTTACTTCATCGGGAAGGCGGCGGGCTTTCCCATATCGGCGTTCACTTCATAGGGAAACATCATAACCTCCTAGATGGATTGAGGAACCAATTATGATATAGGATACCCTTTTTTCACAGCTCGCAGCTGCTTGGTATGGAAATAGGAGCTTTACCTCCCCCCGAATACCGGGATCCCATGCGAGATATCACTTTTATGTCCGCTGAGGAGTACCCGCAATTTTTACTTTCCGGAATTGAGGTATTGCCTCCTATACAGACGGCAATGTTATGCGTGGGGGTTTGCGATTGGTCTACCCTATTGTGGGAGTCGAATATTTACAATTACCATCAGCCATCTCATGGCACCTACTGGCACACATTGGGTGGACTCCCCCTCCGCAGAGCCCATGCCCATGATAGCCTACTATAGCCACTCGGGGGATATTCTGGTACTCTGACATACATAATATATATAGTAGGTCAAGCTAGGGTTATGTGCTCCTGAATGGTGCTCGCAGTCCGGAACTTTTACCCTATTATAAACTAAAATAGCGCATGATACTGGCAGTTTGGTACATACAGTACCATACCACACCAGAAGGGGGTTCTACTGGGGGGTTTTTGCCTTCGACCCGGTGTCATGAGTGTACAGTTTATCAAACACACAGGCTATCTAGAAACCGACGCTAACCCGGCAGGTACTTGTGCCTCTAAATCTCCCTCTGGGACCGTAGTTGTCGTCTTGTTATTGATGATAGTTTACGTATAATACCTATTCTCGCTGTATTCATCGGGGCTTTATCTGGTAATTCAGAGCACCGCAAAGTTCCGGAAGGATACAGAAACTGGGTACCGTCACTGCACTTAGATTCTGATGATTGTATGGTGCCGGCATCTTAGAACCTACCCCCGATACCACCAACGACGGACATTTTACTCTTCTGGTTGGTGCTGTAGGGGGATTCAAAGTTTGTATGGGAGGGGGGGTGGTGAGACTTTGTGTGGAGAAAAAAGGGTTTTGCTGAATAATTAGCCAATATAGTTCCTAATTAGGTATGGGTTGTTCCTATATTGGGACTAGTGTCCTAGATTTGGCTTGAGACTGAGGGTACTGTAGGTTCTACAAGTACCGCAAGGCGGCACCATAACATTACTGGTATTAGGATGGTTTACCAAGCCGCGACTTCCTTAACCATATCGTATTGGTTAAGAATTGGGGGGGGGGGGAAGTTACTCTTGATTTTTAGTTACCGGTGGCCTTGAAATTAGACCGACGATCTTGGTAGAATTCTCGTGGGCACCGTGGATCTGGCTATCTTTGTTTCAGCCAGCTGCTCGCAGGACACTTCTTTGGTACCGGTACGGTACTCGTATGTGAGCGTTGTGGGAGGGAGTGGGTTATGCGGCTAAGAGTCAAATAACCGTCGCAGGTATAGCACCATACTAGCATCATGATAATCTCTCAGATGGCCTGATCCTAGCAAGAAGTTGTCACACTGCACTTACACAAGTCCTAGTACTCGTACTTGTATAGTGCGCAGAACCTCTTGCCTCTTCTTATTACGGCATTTGTAGGTTTCGCTCCGAAGAACCAGGTGCTTGTTTTCTCTGAATTCTCGAGTTCAGTGGCTTGCCGGGTGCTAAATTAATTAAACGAGGGCTGTGGGGGGGGGATTCGTGCAGTAGGCTTTTGTCCCGCGAGTTTTTCTTCACAACTTTTGGGGGTCCTGTGACGGCTACTCGAGTACATTAACTCCGCTCTACACTCTGATGAGTACTTGTACTCGTACTGTACCGGTACTCGAGCACGTTGCAAACGTAACTTGTACTCGAGTACCGTACAGGGCAGACGCCACGGCCTGTACTCGAGTATCTGCAGAAAATTTCAGCATGGGAGTTGCCGGTATGAACTCTTACACACTGAGCAGAACATTTTGCGACTGCGGGGAGTCGCCGATATTTTGTCACGAATATGGTTTCCGAGTGCTCCAGGCCCGGCTCGCCTGTGGACAAGTCGCTCCTCGATTGGGTAAAAATGCAGGGGAGGGTTTCAATGTTCCATCTTTCTGTAACACAACACAGGGGCTATTGTCCTGCGCCCCTGGCATCATCCGTTCCGCCAGAACTTGTGAAAGGTCACGAAAACGGGAAGTCAAGGATGGTTTTCGCCGAAAAGCAGCCTCAGGGAAGGAGGCGGGTATACCAAAAGCTACTACTTCCATAACTGATTGAGGTTCATATTCTCTTCCCGGGCTGCGTTCTCCGTTTTTCGGCCCCTCTAGAAAGCCCACGGGCTCCAAATTGCTGACTGTTGAAGTGTTCGAGGGGGCGGTCTGCTCAGTTAACTTCTGTACCGGAAATTAGACAGGCCGACCTTCTCGCCCACCAACAAGCACCTTCAGTCGGAATCACCGCCATTCGTTTAACTGTGCGGCACAATCGCTCTTACGAAAAGTTGAGCAGCCGGGAAACCCGTGCTTCTTTTCACTCCCTCAATATACCGGTACCTGCAGGCCTGCAGCAAAAAGCAATCATTTGATATTAGCCCCCTAGCCTACAGTACCTTTACTCTGCACTCTCACGCTTTAGCCTTTACTGGGTCTAAGGGACACCTTTTGATTGCCACGGATGAGCTGATATTTTTGGCGCTCTTGGAGAGATCGAGTCTCTTCGGTCAGTAGAAATCCCCCCCCGTTTCTTCTTGTTTCCTCTCCTTTTCCCACCACAGTCTCCCTTTGAGGAAACGTTCGCTCATTATAGTCACTCGTTTTTGGTGGAGGATTTGGGGTTCGTCAGGCAGTCCTAGGCACATTCGATATTTGTTGCTAACAAGACTACCCTCAAAATTGTCTTGTTAACTAGGGCTCGTCTAGGATTTCGGGCTTCAGTGACGACCTGGTCCATGAGGAGTGATGCTTTTGCTTGGAAAGACGGCCATTTCTGCTTCTTACCACGGCTGGAAACCTTTGCTTCGGCAGCTTTGACGGAAGACTCTTGACACCCAGGGGAGGCCAGCGTCTAAATCACTCTCGATTTTCAATCGCATTTTCGCCCTTATACTTTTTCTTGGTCCCAACGCCTGATTTCCGTTTCCTACTTTTATCCGTATTTACTTATACTCCAGTCATTCGTTAGGACCCATTAGCCGAGCTAATATTGCCGAGTTCTTTCTCCAATTCCACACCGCGCTTTCTGATTTTGCCCCGGTGACAGGCACTGTAAGGCTCAGCATTGGTTTTATTTGGAGCAATTCTAGAGACACGTCTACTCTCGGCAGTCCGCACCTTTACAACATCAACATCGACCGCTGAGCGGTTAAATTCACTACTTCGGTCACACAGTTACCGGACACAGAGACTGTCGTTCTATGTGATAAGCTACATTGGGAAACGACCTGTAGCCCCGCTTACTGCATCAGAGGCTATACAGACACATTCTGGCTTGTGAGAGTGGAAAAACGGGGCCTTATCTACCATAGAGAATTATTGTAAGATTTCTTCGGCTGGGTCGTTTCAGAGGTCCGGATCTCTGTGAATGAGTCAGCACAGGAGGCCAGCCATGGGAGGGGCGAGTAGGAATGGGGATTATCGTTATAGAAGACGGGAGGAAGACGGGGATAGCGACTACGAGTACCAGGGTTCCCCGATAGGGACACGATACGGCGCCGGCGAAGCATTCGCAATGAATTTGGATAGCCGATCCTCGCCGCAAATAGCACAACCGCAGCCCCGGAAGCCCCAACTTCCTAAGTCACCAATGTCTTCTCGACAAGACAGCGGTGGGAACCGGGGGCCACAGCAGATGCCGCAAGGGCTAAGAGTGCCGGGTAATGACGGCAATAGTAACGGTGGGAATCGAAGTCCACTACCACGACCCGCTAGATCAAACTATGTTCCTTCGAATGTTGACCCATCATCCTACGTTCAGGAACGAGAGCTGAACCCCAGCTTTTCTTATCGTCCAAACCAACAGCCAATCAGACCGCAGCCTAGAGCACCACGTTTCTCGGAAGACGTAGGAAACCCTGCAGCGTCGACCAACCGCCCTTCCACATCCAGCTCCCGATCTATATATATCGGCTTTGACCCCACAAATGCGCAAGCCACCACCCCAAGCGCGGCCGGCTCTCTTGGAGTGATACCGAATTTTCCTACTGTTCCCCCACCTATCCCTACTCCTCCAAACCAACAGCGAAGATCCAGCAGTGGCCCTCCGCCAGCTGCCCGACGTGGCACTTCATCTTACTACTCGCAACAAACACTCATGGTTTCTCCGATCCCAGAGGAATCCTCGGATCGGCACGGCTCATACGCCTCAAGTGCTGCCATACCCTCTAGTTGGGATGCTGGACCGGTCGAGCTCTATCCACGTGGTGGGGAAGAACTTTTTGGCGAAGGGGAAGCTGAAGAATTTAGACTCCCCACGGGAGATGCCGAGGAAGACGAAAGAGGTTTGGTCCGACAAGCTAGTTTAGGCCGGAAGTCAAAACCAATCATTACGGAAATCAAGGGAGTAAGTGGAACAAAGAGCCCAGACCACGAGTTTGGGTTCAAACCATCGGATGAATCGATGAACACCGCAAGCTCGGGGGCTGGGGCATCCGGAGGCGTTGGAATCGGGCTCAGCTCACCAGCCGAAAAAGGCTCTCCGACTCTAAAGTTGCCGGGTGCAGAATCTCCGACATCATTTCCGGGCTTTGCTCTTGCCCAGTCTTCCGTTTCGTCGAGATCAGCCAGTTCGTCCCCACTTGCTCAGCCCCCAGCCGCATTTACCAAGGAGGATTATAATGAGAGTTCTGGCTTTCCATTCCCGAATAATCTCGGCTACTCCAAAGGCATCTCTTCGGATTCACCGGGCTCAGATGACCTATCTACGCCTAGGAAATTTCCTGCAGGACCCACGAAACCTGGGCGACGGCTCCCTCCAAGACTTAATATGGATGCTGTCCGTGATGCGGAAGCGAGGGGGAGCTTAACGAGCCTGCCGGATCTGATCAGAAGGGCTACAAAACTGGCAGCTGTACTCGAGACGGGAAGGCCAGATTCGAGATGGGGTATGCGGAGGAGTTATATGGATAAATCGTCCAGTATGTTATATCGCGTTTTTTTGTTTTGTTTTACGATTTTTTCGTCTGGGACTAACTGATCAACTCAGGTCGTAGCAATGGAAGGGAGACTGATTCAATATCTGATATTTTAGCTTCGTTCCCACCCCCGGTTCTTGCTTCCAGTAGGCAAGGCAGGCGAGCTACTACAATGTCGCAGTGGCCTCTGCCGGGTGACTTTAACAGCGATAACGATTCTTCAGTTGGGCCATCGCGTAGGCAAGGCCGGAGGGTTTGCGGATTACCTCTTTGGGCATTCATATTGCTCGTAATTCTTGCTCTCCTTGTCATATCGGCAGCCGTCATCGTTCCTCTACAACTGGTTAAACTTTCGAAAAATGATAAGAACGGTAATGACGACTCTCGGAGGTCTGTTCTCGCAGAATGCAGGAGTAAGAATCCTTGCCAAAATGGTGGTGTAAACATTGCCAGAGGTACTTTCTGTGGGTGTGTCTGCACCTCGGGATTCACCGGCTCCAATTGCACACAGAAGGAGGATTCTAGTTGCACTACGGTTGATCTCCAAGACCTACAGGGTGGCCTAGTTAAGGGCATCCAGAATGTCACGATGGGAACCGCATTGCCCCGGCTTTTCAATTTAGCCGAGCCATCGTATAACATTGTATTGGATCAAGAAATGATCCTTGCGGTCTTCAGCAATGAAGATATCTCTTGTACAACGCAGAATGCCTTGGTTCAGTTCAATAGCGAATCCATGCCTTCAACAAATGGGGGGACATCTACTACTGACAAATCGCCGGCTCTTCTGCGGATGAGACGGGATTTGATTCTCGACAGATCCCCCACGCCAACCGCCGGTGGTACTGTTCCAAGCGCGACCGGCTTCTCGGGTGACAGCTCCGATTTAAGGACGGCTGCGGTTGATTCAGATGCAGTGGACTTTGCTAGAGTTGCTGTCTTATATTTGACTAGTGCTGGAAATCTCTCCGTTGCCGAGAAGGCGCAACATCAGCTACAAGTAGCATTTTCAGACGGGATTGATTATGGGGGTCTGGGGGTTGGGGGCAATATTACGGTGAACTTCGACAATCGCAGCATCAGAATGGCTGACGGTAATGTAATTGGAGGCATTACAGCAAATGCAACTGGTAACAGCGGTAATGGGAGCGGTGGTAATAGAACTTCAAATGCGGGCTCGCAAAAGCGCTCTGTTTTTGAAGGCTACATCAAGATATTATTTGTTTGATACATTCGGACCATGAATTGGAAGCCTCTCCGTGCTTCCTCTCTCTCTTTTTACAACCGGCCTTCCCCCCCTTTTTTCTTCCTCGCAATCTTCTGTGATTTATTTTCCAACTTTCTTTTATTATATTTTTTGTATCAATCCCAATCCGGCCCATCGTAAGAGGAGCAACTGTAGATAGATGATCGGAGAAAGGATTGGCAGGTCTTTTCCACTGTATAATGTTTGATGTATTGGTTGGTCGGAATTTCTCTTATTTCTACATTTTATTATTTCTTTCCTTCCCATTCCGAAGACGTCACCAGGCCTTTTTTTTCTTTTTTTTTCTTTTTTCGTCCCCTTTTTTTATCTTTCTCTTCAACATTCAGTTGGTGGATTATCTTTCCTTCTCTGTAAATGTGGTGGGGGTTTGATGCAGCATAGGGTACCGGTGTAAGGGATGGGATGGGTTCGGGCTCGGAAGGCATTCTGCACCGCTTTAGCAGTGAATTGAAACGTTGTGCATTGCCACCTATCCTGCTTGGTATCATAACAGATCGTCACCGCTTTCCAATAAGCCAGAACCTCCATTTTGTAGTTCGCGTGTGCAAAGGTGGATCCAGGCACTGTCAATAGCCGTGGTTCTGTGACCTTTCAACCTACGAGTTTATCGTATCCAAGCATTAGTATTGTTGGTGGCATGCCTAATTTCTTGTAAGGCTTGCCTTGCCTAGCGGGAATATAAAGGAGGGAAGAAAGGTACGTGCTCGCGAGGCATTATTTCATTCCAGGCAGGTTCCCGAGATACAGCTCTAACCAGCCACCACTGCATTGTGCCATGGGCCATTATGACATGGTATTCCTCAGGTCGCTGGTTTGTCAACAGGTATGAGGGCGGAAATACTGTTGTAACGCTAGGAAAACTGCAGTGGGTTCTTATTCAGATACGTATCCTGGATGGTTTTGACACCCTGGTCCGGTTTTTCCTCGTCTCGCAGCTCACGGGTACCCGCATCCTTAAATCAATGTTAGCCATTGTTAGGGGATTTGAGCTTCTGATATGTAATGTATGAATACAATACAGTGATAGGTTGCCCGGGGCGTTTGTTTGCTATTTTTTCTTTCTATCTTAGTGCCCAGATGTCTCCACTACCGTTCAGTATGGTAGGTAGGAATGATTTGTGATATTTGGTGATCAAGAGTGTAACTGGCTGTTTGCTATCCACGACGACAGATGAAAAAATAGAGAAGAGTGCTGGGCCTTTGAGTAAGGGTGGGTATCGGATCTTGTGATCATGCGATGGAAGAGATCAGGATATATGACGAACTCGGCCCCGACTGCTGGAAACCGGCCTTAGAAGTACCGGCGCTTCTGTTGTCGTAGGTGGGGAAGTCTCTTCTGTTTTCTGTTTCTTCCTGTGGCTGATAAGAATGCATTCATCCTTTCTTTTGATTAAACAGACTGGGAAGAGGCATCGTACGCCGGGACATTCAGTGAATGCCATGTTTCGGGAGCATGAGTGTACCTGGAGGCAGGACTTCGCTGCCGAACGCCATAGAGAAAAAGTAGTGGGGGGAAAGCGCCGTACATACGTCTGAGATGCTTTTTCGGGGGATGCAAATGAAAGACAGCATGGACTGGAAAACTGTATATATAAGGCATAGGAAGAGGTAGTAGGGACAAAAATTGAGATGGCTTGGTTTTCCGCGTCATCTTGAATCGTCACTTTTCATATCCTCTCTCCAGACTTTCAAACCATCATACCTCCAAGCCTTGGCTCCCTCTTTTAATCCTACTTCAAGAATCATCCCTCCTGGAAATATCCCACAGCTCACACAAACATTCTGTGTTCCATCCCTCTGTCTCAATTTTCTGTTTTAGACATCATATTTTCCCTCACCAAGAGGTTGTCCACTGACTCCTCTCTGGCACGGTACCAGACATTCGGAAGTCTCCCCAAAAACATACCCACCTTCGAACTCGGGTTACCTTGTTTGCCATGTCTTACCATCCCACCGCAAGGTCTGCCGCCATGGCTTGTCACACCAGTTATCCGTTAACTGACGAAGAAATTGCCAGTGCCCCGGCAATCTATACCCCTGTGATAAGGCCCACGCATATCTCAACATCTTATGCCCATTCAGCGTGCTCCTCGACCTCGGACGTGAGCCCCTTCTTCTACGAAGGCATATGGTTGGAGGGACCTGACGTCCCACAAGACGCCACGACCGAGCAAACTCCTCTCCTCTCTGCTCCGGTCCCTTTTGACCCGGAGCTCGACGGTTTTCAGCTGAGCACAACTGATTGTGTGTCTTTGAAATCTCGAGACCTCGAATCTGGCACCCACGCACAGGTCGAGGAAGTCATGGGTGTCAGGGAGGGGCTATTTTCCGTCATAGGTGGGTTGTGGAGGTGGATCTTGAGATTTTTCCAGTGCTGTGGACTGCCTTTCAGCACCGGAACCGGTGGTGGGAACTAGGTCAATGGTTCTTTGAGTTTGAGGTGATAAGGGCAGAGGGGTGGAGGGGGGGGTGTTAAGTGCAACTATTGGCGAGTGACATCTTATGTTTGTCACTATGAGAGACCTTCTTGGTATCTCAAACTTTCACTCTTTCTTGGGAGCTTGCTGGGTTTCGATTGACTTAACTTGGTCGGATCTGTTTTCCTGAATAGATTCGAGCATATATTTGACGACATGGGCTGATGGCCCCTGGAGGGGGGTATTGTTGTGTTTGTTTTCATCCATTGGGTTGGATCGGGCTGATTGGCCTGCGTTGCTTGCTTTTCAGAATTTCGGTTGCGGATCAGTGGTAGAACTTCTGGGTATTGGGATGGTTACTTTTGTGCCCGAACAGGTTACTTTGGGCGCGAGGTGTCCTGATATATACGATATCAGCGTATATACATTGGTCTCAACCCTAGTTCTATTGGAACGCTGTCTCATAACTCTTATCGGTATTATGGGGTTGTGTTTTTTTTTAAAAAAAAAAAAGAATAGGGGAAGTTGATACGATGCTGGCCAAAACCAGAACAAGGGAATAGAATGCTCGTGTTGACTGCGGATATTTCAATAAATGTCCGCTACGCGCCAGAGGATTTATCTTGCAGGGTTTCTATCTTCTGTCTTTACTACTTAAAGCTATGATGGTATTTCATCTTGTGGAAATACCGCTATAGATTCAAGCGGTCATACCTTCGAAATTCCTCACAGTTCTATCCGATCGGTTGGCTCGATCCATGGAATTCACAAAACAGATTGGATATAATTTGATTGCCATTATAACCCCCAATCATTTGCTTAAAACTCCGCCGAACCATACGCCATTATTGTGAACGCTTATGCGGTGGGGTATGGTATGATATATCTCGTGGTATTATATCACACGGTGGTTAACAAGGGTTTGTATGATACTATGGTCTAATGCACGCTGTGGTTTATCCAGGCAGTGTGGAAAAAGTAAAAAGCAAAGAGGGGTTAAAGTGCATATTTTTTGTCTGGAGATATTTATCTGTAGCTTGCCTGATCCGGGGATGTCACTCAGGATCACTTGGGACATTGCGGTTTCCCTGCTGATGGTCATTGCATTGCAGCATCCTATCAGTTTTGTGTAATAATAACAGCAATAGTAATAATGACGGTCATGGGCATTAACTCATGCTTCGTGCAGAGGTGCGGTGGGAGCATGCCGGCGAACCGTTGGAAAATTTTGAGCTGCAGTCGTCATCTCAACAACCCTTATTGGGTATTTTGCCCCCGGCTGAGTGTGACGACTCCACATGATCTGATAGCAGGTAATCACTCTAGCCACTGCATCCCTTCAAGAGATTCCCGCCACCCCTTTTCTTCCAATCTTACGACTCCTCGCACCTCCTCCACCTCATTCAACCCTAGCTTTTCCATGAACATGTGTGGAAACTCCTCCCCCCGCTCCCCTCTTTGCGCAGCGCTTTCCCACTTTACATCCTTCCCAACCCTGTCATACGGGATTTTCAGCAGCCAAAGTACTTCCGAGTCCGGCATAAATCTCTCAATGACTCCCACGGCTTGGGCTGCGGTGCAGAGATGGATGAAATTGCTGGAAATGTCCAGGGGGGGTAACTCAATGGCTTCCGGAAGCGGGGATGGGGGAGCTGTGGTTAATATCTTGTACAGATATTTAGTGCTGGCGTGACTGCGGTGCGACTCTATCTCTGAGGAGAGAGTGGCTAACTTCGAGGCAGTTGTCGTGAGCTGCGGGATGATTGTCTGCACGGACAATGTGAATTCTGATTGAGCCTGACGGAGAGCGGGTGGGACTAGAATTCCAAACCAACGGATGGGATCTCGAGGGTCTATAGTTGGTGTCTGCTCCTTTGGCTTTTCAACGGTATTTAACTCTGAGCCTTCCCGATCGGTATCCTTCGTCTCTTCCCTCTGCTCCCCCTCCCCTTCTTTCGCTTCCGGTTGGAGGAGTCTGCATTCGAACACTCCACCTCCCACCTCCACACCTCTTATGGCCGTCATGCGCTCATCATAGAAGTCTGCCCCATATCGCCGACCCCCGCTCGTGGAATTAAAATTCGCTTGCGCGAGGGTGAGAAACCCTGCAGAAAAGTGGGTTGCGAGAGAGGTGCGAAGAGATTGGTAGGTGTCAACAGTGTCAAGATAAGTGAGGTAGAGTTGGTCGAGGTGGTCTGACATTGTTTCTTTTGGAGGTTGAGGATGAGAGACAAAAGAGGTCGGGTGATGAGATCAGCTCGACCCGCAGCTTGGCTCGCATACCGGGAATCTTTGGGTGTGGTTGGATTGGGGTTAGTAACTGGTGTGTGGCTGACACCTGGACGCCCTGTCTGATTGGCTAGAGTCTCGGTTGGGCTGAGGCGAGTTAGTCCAATCGCTAAGTTAATTTACTAGACACGCTCTACGGATACGACGGGTACGTCATGTTTGGGCCCGGCGCGCCCAGTGCGATTCCGACTTGCCACTGCTCGAGAACCCGTACTCGTAGACTACTGTACGGTATGGTAGATCCTGCCGGCATTGTATGCGGTACCGGTATGGTATAATATTCCAATGTGGCTCGTCTTGCGAGTGATCGTCAGTGACTTCAGTGACTTCCCTGGCCGGAAGAAACAAGAAACCTCAACCGTCAGCGGGACTAAGGCAAACCGAGCTCACTTGGAATACCGGTACCGTACCGGTACTCAACTATTATCCTTCCCCGCTGCACACCACCCTATAACACTCTACGCTTATCATCTCAAGTTAACACACCTCATGCAAGTCGCTCTAACTAGGAATAAAAGCCCTGGGTGCCAATACTCACATCTCGCTTCCACATTTCTACCCAACAGGCTGCGTACGGGTTCAGGATGGAACGGGTCCTAAGGTAATGGCTTGCGTTCGGAGCCGATGGAAGAGCAGATACCCGCTTTTCATGAGAGCCAGAGGTGGGCCAGAACTACCCAAACACGTCCCTGGAGTGCTTGCATGCACGTTCGGGTCTCCGGACAACTTTTGCCTATTGTTGCCTGTCCGAAGTCCCTTGAGCTCGCTTTGGTTACGGGATGGTTCGTGTGACCCTGGGCTTGGTTACCGGCATAATACGTTCCCTTTGGATTCGCCGCTGTTTTGGCTCGTGGGGAGTTAAAGAACACCGGATGAGAGGGAATTCGGACAGCTGTACAAGTTGGGATGTGCGACGATGTTATGCCCACTGCCTAACCGGGTGACTGTTGATGAAGCCTAGCCGGGGCTGCCTTGACATCGGCAGTGCGTTTAGCACTGAAGCCGCCGCCTTTTGGGATGGGCTCTCGAGTATGGGCGAGTGGAAGCAGTTTAATTACCGGAGCGAAGGTTTGCCCGGCGTATTGGAGAAGCGCCCAAAGTTTTTTGTGCCGCCTGCTGTAGCCTAGTTGTGCATCATATGCACGGCGATGGGGTGCTGTAGCATGATGGAGTGTCTGACGAGAGGGTGGACTACTGTTTTCCTATCACGAGTTACTTGTATGATCTCGTTTTCACTTTGGGCTAAATTGGCGACTTAACCGAGAACGAGATCTGTCGGCCCGGGCCGACAAGGATTTCTTTTTCTGCAGAGTAATGGCACAATGATGCCAGAGCTCGAACGCATTTCAAAGGGCAGTGCGAGAATGCACTCGTACGTCGAAGAATACGAGGTGCGAGTTTTGACGTTACATTTATCGAGGCCCTTTCACCTACGGTACTTCATCTGCACGAATTAAGATTAGGAGCAGATCATATTGATAGCTGTCTCTTCAGGTACCCCACAGTACTTTAGGACCATCTGGGCACTGCCGGACCTGGAGGAAATCGGAACTGGCGTAAATGTTGGCTTTTCATCTTCCAAGCCCAGGTTCGGGGCTAGTCCGGAGGAGACATTATACGCGATAGTGTACAAGTAATCACTTTTCTATGAAAGAATTGTGAAATTGTGCTACATCATGTAGCAATAATTTTTGCTGTGGATTCAAAATTGTGTACCGTACCGTACTGTGCTCTGTGAGGTATAATAGGTTGTCTGCGCTTTTGAGGAGCCGCTTGGTACTTCCGCTACTTTTTTTCCTCCGGCATTTGATATAGGCCACTTATTACTGCCGATTTCCACAAACGCCTCGTAACTGCGCAGAAGATACATTATTGGCTGGAATTCTTGAAGAACCTTCCGATCTGGATGCAGCGTGTTCCACGGTGCGGCGCGAGATTATGAGTGCTCCGTCCGGTTCGGTAGATATGGCTGGCTGAGCGAGTTTACAAAGGCGAATACCGGGAGCGATTCTCGGGGCCTTCGAGGGCATCCAATTACTTGAGGCAAGCTGAATCATTACTGACCGTTCCCTCTGCATCCGTCTATTTCGTGTATCATATTTCGCTGGGACGGGAGTCACATCGGCAGAGGTAAGCCGTCGCCCTGGCGTTTTGAGCGGCGGGTATCATACTCGAGTGCCACGCTCAAAGTACCGTAATCATACACCTGGGGGGCTTTATACTGGGAGGGTACGGTATCATACTCGAGTACGGTACTATTGGTGCCTCCGTTTGCGAAAGGATTCCTGGTTTGTGGAGAGAAAGAGATACATATGGTTATAGGTTATACCCTTACCTCAGACACAAGACATAAGCCGGGGCATCCATGGCTGGACTGGGTGTATGATAGTGTTATCGGAACTTTGGGTTTTTTTTTTCTCGTATAATATTACTCACTCGGTGGAGCTCCGTTGCGGCAACGTAGGCCGAACTAAAACCGAACCAACGTAGAATCTGAGGTTGGGAGCCATCCCGTGGGAAGCGATCTGAGGATTGTTTCCCGGGAGGGAGGAGAATCAAGTTTCGAAACACACCAACGCGACAAAGATACCGGCAACTTATCTCACGGTTGGTGCCGTATCGTGCGGAACTGCGGGGAGGCTTTTGTGTTCCGAAGGAAGGTGAACGAGGGTGCAGGGTGTAGGGTTGTGGTGTGATGAATGCCAAGCCTAATTATCGATTAGTTAGCGGGGTCTTTCGATCGTCGGGCTCTATCGTTTCCCCTCCATCGGCCGCCTCCACCACACTCGACTCCAATCCACCGCCCCTATTTTATTATTGTTTTTTTTTTAACCTTTTTTTCTCCAAACAACATCACCACTTTAATTATTGACTTTGATTTTTTTTTTCACCTTCTCAAAGTCATCGCAATGTCTACCACCTCGACCTCCAGTGAGCTTCCAGCGGAAGTTATCGCCTGTTTGAAGAACGCGAGATATGTGAGTTTCTTCCTCTCTCTTCATTGTTCGCTTGCTCGTTGCAGGCCTGTCTAACTGCATATTTCCAATAGCTCCATTTGGCGACCTCCGATGGTCTCTGGCCTCATGTAAGCATCATAGCTCCTGTTTTATGTTTATTACCCTACAGCGGTTGATTATTTGCACAGGTTTCTCTCATGAATTACACCTACCTGCCAGCTAGCCCGTATCCGCTTCCCGCCACTTCCATATCGTCATCACCTTCAGCACCCGGACCCGTCATTATCATGACCACCCAACCATCGACCAAAAAGACTCTCAATCTAACTTGCAACCCGCGCGTCTCTTTATTAGTGCATGACTGGGTGTCCCACCGTCCATCCCTCTCATCCGCGAACCCCTTTGCTCCTTCCGCTCCTCCTCCGCATCAAACACAATCTGCGTCACCACTGTCTACATTCCTTACCAATCTCAACTCTACGGCTTTGAGCAGTATCTCTGCAACCCTGAACGGGTATGCACACTTGATCCCACATGGCACCGAGGATGAGGAATATTACAAGCGTGTGCATTTAGAGAACAACCCCCAAAGCGAGAATAAATGCTATTTGGAAGGTGAGGAGGTTAGAGTGGTGGTGGTCCGGATTGGCTGGGCCAGAGTTGCGGATTTCAGGGGTGGTGTGACCGATTGGACGGCGGAAGGAGAAGAGGGTAACGATGGTGGGATGGGGTGGGGGCCCGGGCCAGGAAATGGATTGGCTAATGGGTTGGTGAATGGCCACTGAGGGGACGGGATCGCGCGGGCTTGGGATGTGGATAAATTCCCAAATGGCGCTGCTGGATGTGTGTTGGTGGGGCCCGGATGTTTCATGCCACTCGCCGTGCGTCTGCTTAGGGAGCTTCTCGCGGGTTCCGGAGCAACATCTTGGCTGGCATGCTCACTTTTCTTTTGCAAAATGGTTGAGGTGGAGATGTTTTATTCGTTGTTCATCGGTGAGGTTGAGCAGGATTTTCGCGCGAGTGATGGGCCATGACCATGTCGATAATTGTAAACTACTCCCTGATGGTGCCAGCAGGTGTTTAGTAATTTTTACGAGCCCAAAAGCTTTTGCGCATGAAGCCAAGATGGCCGCTGTTTTACAGATGTATCATACCACCATTCACCGGAACTTCCCGCAGGAGAAAAAAATAAAATAAAATAAGGGTTCAGGATTCGGGGCTGGCTGGGCGAACGGGGGGGGGGGGGGGAAAAAGAAAGGAAGGAAGGAAGAAAGAAAGAAGGAAGGGGGAAGGGGGATGAAAGAAGGAAAGAGAGATAGATAGAGCGGAGTGAAGAATGAAGGTTGTGATGCGTCATTACTTATATATTATTTATTCGCTATTGCGAGTTGCACTCCAACGGCTCTTACTGGACGCTCCATATCGAGATGCCAAATGTAAAATTTTTAATGGGAGCGGGTAGATTGACTGCACATAAAAGCGGACCGGTCCAGGGTTACCTTGGAAGCTTGTTTTCCCGCATTCGTTTTTTATCATACAGTAATAATGTTATCATTGTAACACTATAGTCACTGATTTTTCGTTTCCTTCCGTACTTCCCTTTTGAGACTTATGCATTTCATCTGCCGGTCCTTCCCCTTCCCTCTGGTCCCCTTCCCTTCGCACCACCTCTCCACCTTCCTACTTCCCACCCTGTCCTTCCATCTAAACCCACTCCCTCCCACCCCCTTCCCGCAACCTTCTTCCCCCCCACCACTGCCTGCATCACAATACGATTGGTTTGGTTCCGCCTAACAGCATTGGCCATCGCTCCCTCACTCCCATCCGGTTCGTCACAAGCAAGGAGAGGTTTCGATGATATGGAGCGCGGGCATTGCCCAAGTGTTCCTCAGACGGCAGCAGTGAGAGAGAGAGACAGTGTGTGTGTGTGTTGATAGAGTTTTGCGGATTACGAGCTATAGGGATACGGTACAGCAAGATGGGGCGGAATGTATCGGTTTTTAGGTTTTTTTGGGGGGGGCTTTTTCTTGGTAAACATTGTTTCTTTCCTTTTCCTGCTTCTTTGCTAGTTGCGCCTGCATGAGTAGACCGTCCTCGACTCCCCGTCCCCGTACTACGGCGCGTCATATCGGCGGACGCTCGCATGTATGCATGGCATAATCTCTTGGTTAGCTACCCTCGAGATACTCTTTCCTACTGAGGCATGGATACGTAACTGCTATTTTATGGTTGTTTTTTTTCCCGTAACTTTTCTTTTTCCTTTTCCGTTTATCCTCCCTTGAGGGGGAGGGGGGAATGGCTGCTGGATGCGGAGGTCGTGATGCTCGAGTATGCAGAGCGGCGGCATTAATAAGAACAAACGGGAGGGAATTGATGAGTGGATGGATGGACAAAGCTGTCGTATCTCAGCCCCCAGGCACTACCGTACGATACGGTACTACACTCCACAATTCTGGGTAAGGAATATCCGGCTCTCGATGGAAGGAAGTAAAAGAAAAGAAAAGAAGGGAAAAGCAGGGAAGGTCAACATACCGGTGTGGCAGGTTGTCTGTTATTTCTTTTTTTTTCTGAAGAAATGTTTGCTTTCGATTCCTTGCTTCCCGCTTTGCCGCCGCATGTGGGTTCGCAAGTGGGTAAGGTTGGTAGGGTTGGAGAGGCCTGATGTGATGATGTTGCGGTGGAGGGAAGCTTAGAGGTGACAATTATTGTCATTTGCCCAACTCCAAGGGCCGTAGTCGAGTGTATAAAGACCCCCCCGAATGCTCTCGAGGTCCTCCCTCTTCCCCTTCCTTTCCTCGCCCGCCTACCCACGAAACCCATCTTATCCGCAAATCGCTCCTTAGCTGGGATCACGAGTCCTCGGCTCTCATGGAATTCTCGTTTCCCTTTTCGGCCCCCCTTTCCTGAAGCCTTTCATCCCCTCTCCCCCTCGACTCTCCCAACCCTCTCAAGCCTCCGCAAGGCCTAGCGTCTATCTTAGTGCGGGCGCAACCTACGATAGATGTCCCCTTGCGGATTGGGAAGTCGGGCTCGAGTGTGTGCTATGGGCCAATCGTTCCGGTCCTTTTTTTTTTCTTTTTCTCTTTTGGCGATAAATTCAAATTCCTCACCAATTGAGAGCCAATTCGATTCAGGTAGGAGGCCATGCGTTGCCCGCTTCTCGTCGGGGTTGAAGGGAAAAAAATAAATAAATTAATACCAGGGATAGCCCTAGCACGCAAGATCCCCACCCGGGGGAACCACCCATCACAAACCCTGCGAAACGTCACCTCAACGACGGGAAGGCTATCGTACCCGTAAGCTTTTCCGTTCGATTCGCACGCCAACGTCTTGGGATAAACCCTGGTTTGGAGGAGGAGGAGGAAGGGGGGGGAGAAAAAGAAAAAGAAAGTCTTGTGATTCGTCATCTGTTTTTTTGCTTTTGTGTACCTCAGCATTGAATGGTTAAGGACAGTGTTTTGCCAACCCTCTCTCGCCTCAGAGATTGTTCCATTTTCTTCTTCTTCCGTTTCTCAATACCGTAGCCTTTCAAGAATGGATGTGGTACGGATGCAGAGCGAGTACTCGAGTAGGGGTGGGAAGGGGAGTGAGTGCCCCTTTTCTGTCCGAGTAGAGACGACCGGATCATGCAACCTGTCGGTACCGGAGCTCCTGAGTGATTATCAATTTCTGGAACTGTTGCCCGGAGCTATTGTGCGAGCATGATGGGGCTCGCTGCCAGCTGGACCCGTCCGGCGTTCTGGTTCAAACATTCTTGGAAATGGGTGTGGATAGGGTGCGTGCCATGCAAGTTTTATGCAAGTCTCAGGTCGATTGTGCCTCTCCCGCGTCAGGTGCTGACTCTCCATATGCGGCTTCCCAAGCCAACCAATCGAACCCGTCAGGCTGCGATCGAGAAGGTGGACTTGCCGTACCGGTATGACGGCCTTTCCTTTTCCTCTTCCTTTCCTTTCCTTTTTCCTCCTTCCTCACCCTTCCAATGCTGTGCCCGGTCCGTCGGTACAGTATTGCTAATACCGGTATAGTACTCGAGTACTGTGCTGTGCCCTACCGTATTATACCGACAGGGGGGAATTCTGAGGGGATAGAGTAAGCGGTGTTATTCATCCGCATGTTGCCGGAGTGTGAGATGTCTCTGTGCAGCACCGGTACTCGTACTGGTATTTGTACGAGTACTGTTACCGGCAGGGATTATTTTCCTGTTCAAGCCTGATGACCGTTCCCTAACCGACTACCTTGTCGGAACCTGCATGGCACTCACTGTACGAGTACTGTATGATACGTTGGGAAGCACCCGTTTGTAATTCTATACACTCATGTATAAGACTTACAGTACCTCGGGATGCGTGCGTAAATCTTCTTGATCTCTGCTCTTGAACATTTGCGGCACTGACATGACGGTGGAACCAGACCTCTGGCGGAGGGGAAGCCCTGTAATGTATGCTGCGCTCCGATTTTTCCTCTCTTTCTTGCTTTACTCCCTTTTCTCCCTTACTTCATCTGATTTGGTGAGCGGGTCCTCTCGTCTTCCTCTCTATCTATCGTATCTTGGGGGTTTGAAATACCGACCTGGGTGTTTTTTTTTTTGGTTGTTTTGGTTTGGTGGATTGTCGCGCTTACCTGTGTTGCCTACTGCCTTGTCTCTGGTATTGTGGTGGTGCGAGTAATATGGGGGGGTAGGTTGTACGTCACCCACCGTCACTCGATCGCGGGGCCGAGGGATGGGGACAATTATAGAAAGGGGTTTAAAAATCGTTGGCGGGCGGAATGGAGAGTTCGTGGACTCGTCAAGCCTTTCCGGTTGTCCGGTGTTTGCCCGTACCCGAAGCCGGGATAGGGATGCAGTTGTGGACTATGATACTAATACTATGGTACATACGTGTACATTCCGGCACTGTGCAAAGCGTATAGAACGTATCGTACCCCTTAGTGGGCGCACCCGTGTAATGCCTGGATTCGAATGGGGTTGTGAGTGTCGAAGGGTTCAACTTGGACCCATATTTAGGTTTTTGTATTTAGTTTTTTAAGACTATGTTTTGAACCCCTTTGATTAATTGAGAGATTATGTGACCCCTTCGATGGGATTTATTATACTTACTGTGAACCAGCCTCGCATTCATCAGAACTATATACTACATTCACTATCCAGTCCGTCCTTACCCAATACGTCCAGACCAATTCATTTGGCACTTTAGCCAAATACCGGTGGGACAAGTCACTCACTCACTCGAACGCCTTGAAGTCACAACATATCATATCATACGATGCAAAAAAAAAAAAAAAAAGTCAGCCGGGCTGAGAACTGAAACCTTTATGATACGATAATGCCCGGAAATCTTTTTCTGGTATTTGGAACCTTTCGTCTTATACGAATACGACGGGCGTTAGTACTTGTACATGGGTGTGCACCCACTAAGGGGTACTGTACTGTACTGTACTGTACGTTTTGTGCGATTTGCACCATGGACTATGCCGTCCCTGTCTGCTCTCCTTGAAATCTCAGTCTTCCTTTTATCTTCCTCCCCTCACCCGAAACTCGTTTCCTCATCGTTTTCCGCATCGAGAAATGGGGGGGTTTTTTTTTCTTTTCTTTTTCATTCTCTTGTTGGGGCGGTCTCGCTCGCTCTCGTGAGTCGTGGATAGCTCATTTAAGCGTCGCGAAAAACTGCGCCCCTCACGACCGCGCCGATGTCTATCGTGCATGGCATGGCGGACCGAGAATTTGTTCCCTGCGGGAGGTGGATACCCGTCGATAGGGTGCCTCTGATCGGTGTCCGTTGGCTATCATACAATCCTCGCAAGTGGTAGGCATGCATTCCGGGCCCCCTCGGATGGCATCCTTACACATGGCCAATACTCCTGTCATACCCTTCCTTAATTCCATCACTCCCGCTCCCTCCCGCAGGCCCCCTCCAGAACCTTCGGTGCTACTCGCTGAGGACTGTTCACGGTTTCGGGCACTCTCTTCACCATCCTTATCAATTCCTCCGCATTCATGCCGTGTCTCGGAGCCCCCCCCCCCCAGATCCCGGTAACTTTGGACAGTGGGGTTTCTCGCTGATTTCTGATATCCTTGGACGGGTTGATACTCGATCTGGGGTTTTAGGAAAAAAAAAAAAAGAGATTGAATTTTTTTTTGTCTTGAGGTACCAAAACTCGCAATGGGGAGAAGGCAATGGCGTGTTTCCAGATTCATCGGGGGACTCCCTGGATTGTGTGCGATACGGCCTCTACATAGGTGGCGTTCCCTTGGACGGGGGGACAAGACGTACCCCGATCGCCTGCTTGACCAGCCTACCCGCCCGGTAAACGGTATGATAGGATAGTTGAGCTCCACGTCAGTGTTACAAAGTTTATTGCGCCATGGATCGGAGTCCTGGGTTGGATGGGATCTGTTCCCTCTTCTATCCCACCGTATCCATAGAGGATGCGAATGAGTGATATAAATAGTCTCGAGTGATACCCCATGACCAGAGAGTCAGAGACACTTTTACGGTGGTCGCTTCAATGAATCATATTACCAGTCCCAAGTTAAATCACCTCATTTACGTTCATGTCTGGGGACCCACTCCCAAAGACAAATGGAGGGGAAAAAAAAAAGTCAAAGCTTTATTATCTCTTGATCTCCGGGCGGCGAATATTCAAACTGCTAGACTACACGCTGTACTCGAACCGGAAGACAAAATAGAATAAAAGAAAGGAGAGAGAGAACACGACTGAAGGAAAACTAAGGGTCGTAATTCGCACTAACAGATCCATATTCCTGCCCCTCAAATGTCAGGAAGAACTTCAGGTTGGCCCCATGCGCGATTATCTCGATCTTGAACTCTGCAATGTAGAACATATCCCCGCCCAAGCCCCTTCTCGCCTGGTGGAATTTGCTCTCGGGAACGGTACTTATGTCGGCGTGGAGGGTGCAGACATTGTATACACCTGTTGTCGAGCTTTCAGCACGTGCTTTGCATAACGGGAATTCTTGGGAGGGGGGGGGGGGGGAACTACTGTTTTCGAAATATCTGCGAGGAGCAAAATCGTCGTTGCATGCCACCAGCTTTGCGCTAAAGACTCTCGAGTCCGTCGGGCGGAAGGTTCTACAGCATTCTATGGAGACACGCTTGGGGGTCGTCGCGGAGAGGCCCTCGCCCTTTGTCAGGAGCCAATGCATTTGGCCTGCTTTGTTAGCTTTACCGTATCGGGAGCGGGAATGAGGGTTGTGCACCTTTTGCGAATTTCTCGCCGGTGAGATCGTCGGTGTACATATCTTGCGCGATGTGCTTATTCTCGTCAAAGTGCTCTGATACTGGTGTTCCGTAGTGTCGTCGACACATCCTGAGCTGCACAAGACCTGATCCTTCACCTTCCAATCCACGGGCAACCGCTCCACGGACAACCGCTGACCAACTGTGGCAGTGGGTTAGCCTATCGAACTTACTCCAGGAGCTGGGGTGTTTTACGGGAATGGTGGTCTCCGAGTCTCAAGACCACGTGCAACGCAGTATTCCTGGACCTTCTTGAACATGTACTCCGATTTTCCAAAGCCACCAACCAAAAAGACGTACTATTTGGTGGATGTTTAGTGACTACATCGGATGCACGATGAGAGGAAATACCTTTACTCGTGAGCCTTTGGACTGCACCGCAGCGATCTGACCATCAATCAATTCTAGTGTTCGGTTAATGCATGGGTCGAAAATTTCTTGAAAATCCGCGCTTCTCCTAATTAGCGTACTGGCCCACGGCTCAGAGGTAGTGATAAACTCACGCTGTGACCAAGATTTCTCCGTCTTCGATCCCACGCGAAGCGTCTTCCGTGATGCCCACTTCGCTGGGTACTGTGATTAAACCCTCGGGACCATCTCCGGAGAAACTTGTCTTTGCATCCTCGAATTCTTTCATCAATTTGCTTCCAATCATGATCTTCTCTTTCGGGATCCTTTTGTAGTTTGCCTCCCCAAGTTTTCCCTTCAGCCATTCCTTAAAGTTGCGATCCACGAAGGTTGCGCCACACTTGTCACCGGTTCCCACTGCTGCTTCATGGACCTTGAAAGATGGGGAGACGCTTGATACGCGATATGAAATAAGATCCTGATGCGAATTAGCGTTGGCCTTAGGCTTTTCACATCCCTGCCGGGTTCACTCACAACGGTACCTCCACCGGCATCGCATAGTACGAAATGATCGCCGACCTGAATATCGTCGCCGGAAGCACCACCCTTCAAAGACTTCAGGGTGTATATGGCGGCAGCCTCGGGCTCAGCAATCATAGAAGTGGTGTACTTGAACTCTCCCAAACCGGCCTTGCCAACTGCCTGAAAAGTCAAATCCTTTGCGCGATCGGACCATACGGCCGGAACTGTGATGACGATCTCGATCTGTAGAGTACTGAGCAAACGGTGAGAAAACTGCTTGATCAAGGTTTGGACGACATGCTCATTGACGCCCGTGAGGAAATCCGCAACGATGTCTTGGGGTTGTTTTCCTGGGTACAAGGGTGGATTGTCGTCGTCCTCACCATCGCCCCCGATGCTCATATTCTCCAGGTTCCCGGAGAGGAGAGCTAGGAGCATTTTCAGCTCCTCCCTCTTTTGGCCCTCGTCGAGTTGGAGCTTCGTCCACACTTGGCGCTCTGCTCTGGGCGGAATGCGATTTCCCCATTCAAACGTCCGACCCTCTGCAAATGAGCCGTAAGCCACTTGACTGGGGACTTTCTCGTTTGTAGCATTTTGACTCTTGCCGGGCCAGTTGTGGATTAATTGAATGCCCTCGATGCTCCCGCCGCCACTGCTGTCACAGAAGGCGACTCCTACTCGATATCATTTCATTAGCAAGAAAACCTCCGGATTAGGCCCTTGGGTTCAGTGGACTGCAACTCATACCCGTGTAGGTGGTACCGTAGTCCAATCCAATGATAAGCCGTTGTTTCGAAGATGACATTTGAGATCAGTTGTACGGTTACTTGTATCGTGTGCGGGGAGGGGAGGAAGGAGAGGTAGAGGAGAAGTAAAGACTAAAAGGAAAAAAAAGAAAAGGGAAAAAGTCCGATGATATGATATACCCCAAACGCTTTGTTCACCTGTGTAAAAGCGCACGATGGAGAGCAAGGGACGCCTGAATTGCGGAGAAAGCGGCTGATGGTGAGTTCGTCGAATGTCTCCAGGGTTCTGCACTTTTCTGATCTGGCCTTAGTGATTCCTGTGATCTTCGGGTTGGCGGAGCACAGCGGGGGAGGGGAGGGAAGGAATGAAACCGACTCTTCCGAAATGCTATGGTTCGAATGGGGGTTTGCATCTTCCCACCTCCTTAACTTATCAAAGGGTCCACATGTCTGACACCGCCGCTTTTGCTTTTTTCACAATACCAAGACGGAGCATGCCGTGGAGGGGAAAGTCGGGACTTGCCAATGCGGTAAAGGGGTCCAATTCTTAATAGCGCTTCCCATTGATTCGTCTGTGGGGAGGATATGTACGAGTACAGTCGGAGCACTTGAAGCAGGTTCGTGGGTGCCCCGATTTATCGCTCAGCTCGCCAATTTGGTACCACATTGGCGCTACTCTACTGTACGAGTACTCTGGATGGCGCTTTGGTTGGTTGTTTCTGCAGCCATGTCGCTTCCTCGCACAGAGTCATCACGCGATGTGAGACAAAAGCTTGAGTAAGGACTAACTTAGGAGGCGAGGCTCGCAAAGATCCGAGAAATCAAGGGTTCGAGCGCTTGTCGAGCATGACCCTCATTGTTGGTTTCCCTGATATGGTAATCCATCATATCATGCCAACATACGGTGCCGTAGGATGTAGATAAGATTCCTAGTATTGACCGCGACGGCTAAACTACCGTGGCAGAGTGCCGGTATCAGCAGCGCATGAATTATATAACAGACAACCCCTTCGATCATCCACGATCTGTTCAAGCATCGCGAAATTTGTGGCACTGCGAGTATAGGTAGGTACTGTACCCACCCGTACCGAAAATAGCCACCGCAAACAAACAAATCCCCACCAATCAGGCTACAACGACACGACAGGCCAATTCTCGCGATTCGAGAATCCTGTGGCTCCGGAACAGGCTGTATCAATCTGAGCAAGAACGGAAAAAATCCCGATGTCGAACTATACGGAGGAGAGAATGTCCTCCACTACTCGAGCAGAAATTGCTCAGGAATTGATTGACGTGGTTGATGCAGTGCCAGATGTAGGAGAGGCTGGACCTTCCCACGAGGTGAGTTGACGGCCTTAAAGCCTTAACACTTTGCTTACAACCACCGGAAGGAAAAGAAGGGATCCAAACACGACAGTCGTGACTCCTCCACCCTCAAGGAGGAGGCGGAGAAACCGCTGCCGAGGGAACCAACGGAGGAGAGCTCGAGATCCCAAGTCAAGGAAAGTGCAAATACGAGCAATGGGTCAGAGGAATCTCGCTCGCGGAAGGAATCGAACTCGAATCAACAGCCCTGCTTCGAGAGTAGGCTCCGAAGAGAAGTGAGTGAATTAAGACCTAGAAGCTCGAGGGAAAAACAGCTTATAAAAACTCAAGGATATTGTGGCAATGTGCCCGTGGACAGAATACGAAATGTCCATCACCGACCTTGATCATTGTTTCAACCAGATCCGAACCCTTCCTTCGCTCATCGATAGACTGAAAGAATTGAGCGAGGAGAACGAAAAACTCAGAGCTCTGCAGGACGATATGCTCTCCGGAATCGACCGTTTCCATCCAGCTCCTGATTCCGCTATTGTGGAAAAGGTGGCAGGATTGCGGGGTCTGATCAGGATTTTCTCCAAGATGTATGCGCGCCAATTGAAGAGCATCAAGGAAGGGCCGTCGGTGCGGGATAGGCTCAAGGGCCGTACCTTGACAGCGCTTATCGACGACTCTATATGGGAGGACTCGAGGAATGTAGTCTTGCTGGCCGAGAGCGTTATCTGGAAGAAGATTATTGACGATGTGTTCTGGAGCCCTTTCCAGATATTTGGGGAACGGTTGGAAGATACGTGGAAAGCCATTTTCGACGAAGGTAAGCTCTTCTTCAATCCACATGCAGCTTCGGAAGCTGAGTCTCTCCAGACGGCAAGGAATCAGCGGATCCCTATCCCTTTGCTAGCGAGCAATCAGAAAAGTGGAGGAATGCCACCGTCCTTCACCTAACCAGCAAAGCCAACAAGAACCCGGAGAAGGCATCGGCAGTAGCCACGACCATCCTCGAGCAGTTGGAAGATAGGCTCTCCTCCATACTCGGAATCAACATGCTCAAGGCGCTCGATCGTGAATCGTTAAGGAAGATCGTTATCGACTCCTGCGAGTTTGCAGCCCTGCTCGGCCAACAGCGCTGCCGATTGAGATTCTACACGCCCGAAGCCGGCATACATTTCGACACAAGCGACAATAGGCAAAAGCTCGAGGCGATTGGCAGTGACGAGATCCAGTTCGGGAAGGTGGCTTTCGTGTCGGCGCCCGAGTTGAGGAAATGGGGAAATGGGTATGGGCAGAATCTGGAGGAATTGGATGTAATTGCCGGAGCGCGCGTGAAGGTGGTTGAATTATCTTGATGGTCTCATCCCCCTCATGTACGACATTGGGCCCGGTTACCGTATAGTTATGGTGTTTGCCCCCCGCAGTTGTATAATAATAATTCTACGATGGCGTGATAGTTCTATCATCAATTTCGAGTAGGCTGTCCGTCAGTGCCGGAACTCCTCAGAGAACAGTTCCCTTGGGCACGAATTTTTAACCCACTCTGTTGGAGAATCAATCCGAGCCCCCCACTGTACGTACCGTAGCGTCTGGAGGGGGAAAATAACAGGGCGCCGGCAACATCTGTTCTGTGGTTGCTCAGCGCTCGACGCCGGTCGTCGTAGTCTTTTAGGCCTCCAGCGGTTGTCGTTGAACTGGCGACTGCACGAAGGGTGAATGCAATTGTGGACCAACCAGATTCCTAGGATTCGCTTCTCTCTCTCTCTCTCTCTCTCTCTT